TGTGCCAATGTAGAGGGACAAGTAACACGTTAGGAAGCTTGTATCAAATAAGATCATCAAGACTTGTTTTTGTTTTTTCTCAAAATCGCCAAAACATAAAAAAACACACCAATTCGAATATTTCAGTCTATGAGTAAATCTGGATGAAAAATATAAAATATGAAAGATTAAGAGTATAAAAAGTGTTTTAAGATTCATAATCCTAAAGATTTTGACGCCCCAAAATAATCACAAACAACGCATCCAAGCAAGAATTTTAACCAAAACCGAATTCAACTTTAACCAAAAAGAACTTCACTTCTTTTTCATAAAATCAATATCAAAATTCATCAAAATTCACTATTAAACCACACGACCAATGCCTTTATATAGGTAATAATTATTTTCAGCCCTAAAAAAAAACCTAATAATAAAAGGAAAATAACTAAAATGCCACTCTAATTAGAAAAGTAGTTAAAGGTTATTTTTATTACAAGTAAAAATCTCGCAATTAAAAATTCCAACTGAAATACAAAAAAATCTTCCAACAAAAGTTAACGTAAAATTTGGAAAGTGACGAGAATTTTAAGGAGGTCTCAATCGCCGAAGATTTAGAAGAAGATTTGGTGGAGAAAGACCACCGGTGAAATACATGCCGCTATATTTGATACTCCCTCTGTCCCAGAAAAATAGTCCAGTTTGAAAATATACAATTTTTTTTTTAATTTGGCCAACACACCAAATATACAACTCATTTATGTCCCTAACTTCCACTAATGTCCCTTCTAGTTATTTTTATAAAAGTTAACCACATATGCATTTATTTTACAACTTAAATTTGATCAAAATTTTCATCTCAAAAAATATTGACAATAGATCTTGATGGAAAGATCTCGTTGTGTAGATTAATTTGATATATAACACATATTTTAATTATTCATGTATTAAAAGATATAATCATTTAAAAAAATGGGAGAAAACTTAAAAAAAATAAAAATCAGAGGACCTTGTTTTCCTTACCACTACTCTTTTGGATATTTAAGTCATTTCAATTCAATTAATTTTGACTTTGTGAAACTCGACTATTTTTTTGGAACAAACCTTTTTATTAAACTGGATTATTTTTGTGGGACGGAAGGAGTGGTTGTTAAACTATTTAAAAGAGAAAGGCCACTTTAATTTGCTAGAAGACTCATTTAAACTTGATCAGTGCTCTATAAATGAAACAAATCATATTATGAACCAAATATGTGAAAAAGAAACAACCTTGAGACCTATGCATATTTGCATATTCATGGAAAAGAAGTTTTCCTCCACGAATTTAGCATCTAAACCCTTGAGAATGGTATTTGGGTTTGCCACCCCCAAGTGGTAGGGTTCTCGTATTCGGAAATGCAAAATGGAGTTAAATACGGTCTTCTCACGTTTATACGCATTTCGACAATGAACCTAACTAAGCCTGTGTAAGAACTTATAGTCCATGTTGGCTTAAAATAATTTTTAAAACACAATACACTTATAGTTTATAGTTCATCAAATGAAGGATGATGAGATAGTGATGACTGGCACTAAGAACTGTTTCTCTCTTCTGTTCAAATCCCGCTTTAAACTATCCTAAAGTCCACACTTCTAGGCATTTTGATCTTATTTTGGGAATCAAGCCGAGCTTCATTTTGTTTTAACTAGTTAAAGCAAAAATAGGACATACCATTGAAGCTACTATTGAAAATAACAAGCTTGATTGTTTGGTCCAATTAGTAAACAATAATGCAGAGTAACAATTTGAATGCCCTCCCACGACCGCTTCTTAGTTCTTAGTTTCATGGCCTTAGAAGGATAAAGAATACAAGTTATAACTACTACTTTTGACTTGTCCATGAGTCCATGACCAAATGCAATTAGTAACCAAAGTTGACTTGAGGATTCGAAGAGTGTTCAAAATTTTCAATTAAATGAATAAAAATGAATATTTGGAAATGAAATTCGATCATTTAAGACACATTAAAAATTTTATTGTAGAATTATTTTGCCATTTTATACATTAAAAAAATAAACCAAAATTGAAAGAAAAATTGATTAAGTAAATCAAAGTAGGCGAAATCGGTAGTTACTAATTTTACTCTTTTATCAAATAAAATTTTTATTGTTTTTTCGAAAATGAAATAATGAAACACCAAATCAGGCAGGCTCGGACACTAAAGCCCATCACTCTTTTACTCATGAACTCTAAAACAAAAGTGGACCTTTAGCCCAACGTTCATCCACAGTTTGGCGCCTGTTTTTGTTGCGAATCGTTTGATTAAACAAATGCGATCTTTATACGTTTCGTCCTCAAAGATTACGAAGAAATTTAAAGCATATACTCTATTATTAAGTATAGATCCCTGTGATTCGAGTGAGAATCTATTACTCCCGATAAAAAATGGTGTGGTTCTTCATTTCGCGAAGATGAAAAATGAGATTCTTCTTAATGAATTTTATATACCATCTCCTTCGCTGGGAATGAAATGGAAGGACGGTAAAATACCACAATAATATTAGTTACACTCTAATCATTTAGAGTATAATCTTATTGTTATACTTTACTATTTTTAATCATTAATCGCCGTAGATATACATTTGTTTCGTGTGTTTCTTTTTCCGATTTCTCATTATAAGGAAAATTATCTTATCATGAGCAAAGGATATATTCTTTGGTAATAGAAACATAGTGTTGTGTATATGTTGTATAATCTAAATACAATCATGTGTTACAACTGTACAAAAATTAACTTTTACGGTAGAGTTTGAAAATAAATAAATATTATTTTAAAACTCATATAATATACTTTTATGGTCATTAAAAGTAGTTGAGAGAAATGGAACAAAATAGAGAAAATGAAATAAAAAAGTGAAAAGGGACTATTTTATTTTTTTATATATATATATTTTAGGAGTTATTTTTAAAATTTTGACAAATTATTGATGTGTTTTTGTATTTAAATTTATTATTAATTAAAAAACTAACGGAGATCCGTTAATTTGGATAGAAAATGAGTCGATTGGACGAAATTGGCGAATTTTCAAACATTTGAGTAAAATTGGCTAACTGAAAATTTATTAAGTATGATTGACGACGAGGGCAAAGTTTTGAGTAGGAACGACATTTTTTCTGATGAATCCGATTGTGAATTGATCAGAATTCAAGAGCCCTTTGGGCTCCTTTGCTTAGCGGTTGCGCAAATGTATTTTCAGTTGGAAGTTGGAACCTTCTTCTCCATTATGAGCTCTTAAACCAAATTATAGTCAAAGAAAAGTAGAAAACTAGAAAAAGCATGAAAGTATAAAAGGGTTTGTTTGATAAACCACTGTTTAGTATCCTAACGTAGTCGTAGTGGTTGAATCACGCTAAACAAATCGTCACGTTGTTAATGACCCGTATTTCATAATTAAAACCCATTCTTATTTGTCAAAGTATCTGTTTCAATTGTATTTTATTCTCCAGGGTGGTTGTGGTTTTTAGACTTTGGAGAGATGGTCAATGCATTGGATTTTTTCCTACTTCTTTTTGTGTCTATCGTACACATTTTTTTTAAAAAGGTATTTCATAACACTATTTTGAATTTCAGCTTTCAAAGTTTCAATAATGTATTCCATAATGAACGTCGGTTTTAATTGTAAATTTGTAATCTTTCCATTTTTCGCTCATTGGAAAACAAGCTTTCGTCAACAATTGACGATATTTGACTTTCAATAAAATTTACTGCCTATTCACTTCATGTTCGCTTTTCTCTAAACGTTAGTGCACATTTCTCATTACTGATTAATTATGTCATGTATCAATTCTTAATTTTACGAGAATAATCACCGCGGTTCTTGACATATGGTGTGATAACATGCAAAACAAAGTGTCGCAAAATTTGACATCACAAAAAAACCCTTGATGAATAAAATCACACCTATATTCAACAAACCATATGAGTCAGTGCTGCTATTTCAGACAGCCCTTGATAATTTTGACATCCCCAATCCCAAAGACCATTTGATCAAAACATAGAGTCATGGAGACCATTTCTCGTTGTGCCGTCTCAACCGTATCAAGAAGAAAGATAGAGATATGAATTTATTAATTTTTTTTTTTTAAGAAAAAGGAAAAAAGAAATGACATGAGCAAAAAGAAAAGCATTTAATTCAAAAAAAAAAAATCAAAACGTTCAAAGTCCTAAACAAACCGCGAGGCAGTCTCCCGGTCAAACCAAAAAATGGGGGGTTCTTAAGACAAACGCCCTCCGAATATTCCGCTGCCATATATAAATAATAATTGTCTGAATTCCCACTTTTTCCACCCACCCACTACTGCCTCGTAACTCTCTTCAGGCTCACAACTATAACTCCATTTCCGTCATTTCACACACCCCCATCCTGTCATCTCTCACCCCCACCGTGATCTTCATCCGACGGTTCAGAATCAAATTTTGACTGCCCTGCACAGCAACGAGGAGATGATTGGAATGATTGGCCTCTGTTCCACGACTTTGACCATTGGGAAAATGGAAGGAAGAAAAAAAAATTCCAAATTTTTGAATCAAAGTTACCTCTTACTAGTAGTATTTATTTATTTTTTGGCCTTACATTTATGACAATACATATTATACTACATGTACTAATAAAACTCAAATTTAAAAGTAATAGATGATGTCAAAGTTTGTACTTTTACTTTAAGTTGTATTTTCGTACGTCTAAGAAAACTATTTCGTGCACATTTTTGTTACTTTCAAAGCTACAATATTTCGTGTATGATAATCTATTTGTAAAATAGAGTGATTCAAACTTGATCTCATTTGAATGAATTATATAAAAAGACAATAATTTGCCACTAAAATTTTTTTGCAAGATTTGAGGATATTTGGATCTCTATCTCACTTGCTTGATCAAACATAAAGTATTAAGGCCGTACATTGTTTTTTTTTTAATTTTTTTTTGGTTTTAGGATAAGGCAAAATAAAAAAAAAAATTCCACCATAATTTGTGAGTATTTAAGAGAAAAACTTAAAAAAGATTTATTCTATTTCTTCTTCTTTCTATCTTTTTCTCTCAATTTTTTTTTGGTTCCTCTTTTTTAATGTAATCTCCGTTGAATTCAACTGAACAAACAGGACAAGGAGGAGCAGGAGGAGAGAGAGAGAGAGAGAGCGAGAGGCGGAAAAAAGCTTTTTTTTTTCTTTCCTTTCCTTTTTCATTTTGTAGTTTCCTATTTCTCTCTCTCCCCCTCCCCATTCTTTCTGCTACTTTTTTCATCATTGCTTCTTGAAGAAATCCCCCATTTGGGTTTGAGAGAGGAGAGAGATAGAGAAGAAGAAGAAGAAGAAGGGAGCAAAATTTTGTTATTGGGTTTTGTTGTTCTTTGCTCTCATTCCAATTTTTTTATATTTTGTTGAAATTTTATTTTGGGGGAGATTTATCCGTTCAGCTCCTAGCTTGTGCTAGGGTTTGAGTTTGTTTTAGTAATTCGATAAGGCAGAGGAAGGAGAAAAAAAAAAGGAAAGAACCAGAGATGAATGTAATGCGTCGGCTTAAGAGCATTGCTTCCGGTCGCTCGTCTGTTTCAGATCCTGTAAATTTCTCACCTTCTTTTTCTTAGTTCCTCCTGTTTTTTTTTTTTGGGAGGTTGGGAACTCGTGAAATGATGGTGAAATTTGGGTGTTGTTTGGATTTTGTTAATTTGGGTGTTGTTACTATTTTGGGGCAAAATCAATTGTGGGGCGGTTAGTTATATTTTCTGCATTTGGTGTCTTTGATGTTTGGTTTTTTTTTTTGGTGTGTTCGTTCAAGATGCCCTCTTTTTTGAAGTATATGGTGGATTGTGTTTGATGCATGATAATGATTTACCATTGGTTTATTTCTTTGGTTTGTTAAGTTCAGATCAGGGTCAGGCTTGGTTTAAATCTTTTTGCTCAAAATTATTGCTGTTATGTGGTTCATCCTAAATGGTTCTAGGAGGCAAGCATGCAACCTTTCTTTTTTTCTATGTATCTGATGCATTTTGCTCTTGTTTTCTAGGGAGATTCTGGGATCAAGAGGGTGAAAATTGAGCAAGAGGTGGATTGGAGGGCAGCGGGCGATTCAGAAGCAATGGATCAAAGTACTTCATCCTCAGAAACAAACGTGGCATCTACCTCTGGAGATGCTGCTCCTCGTGGGTCTAACATGTTGGCTAAAACTGGAAAATCAGGATATGATCAACTTCCAAAAGAAATGCACGAAATGAAAATCAGAGATGACAAATCTGATGCTGACAGTATCAAGGTTGGTTTATATGGATTGTTTGCTTTGTGTATTAACAACTTCTGAAATTCTCAAGTTCCTGTTTGCATTGTCTTTAATTGCTGCAAACGTGATGCAGGATATGGAGCCTGCCGTCGTCAGTGGCAATGGAACAGAAACAGGCCAAATAATTGTGACAACTGTAGGTGGTCGAAATGGAGCTGAGAAGCAGACATTGTCTTACATGGCTGAGCGCGTAGTTGGTACTGGATCCTTTGGAGTTGTTTTCCAGGTAATGAAATGAGTCACTGCCTACTAGTAAATGTTGTATAAATTGAAGTCTTGGTTTCATGTACCTGATGTTTTGTCAGTTTATCCTTTATCAGCTGGCCTTATTCTGACCTTTTTCCTTGATTGCAGGCCAAGTGCCTGGAAACAGATGAGTCTGTTGCCATAAAGAAGGTGCTTCAAGATAGGAGATACAAGAACAGAGAACTTCAAGTAATGCGTTTACTTGACCATCCTAATGTAGTCCACATGAAGCACTGCTTTTATTCTACCACTGAAAAGAATGAAGTGTACCTGAATCTTGTACTGGAGTATGTGTCTGAGACTGTCTACAGAGTTTCCAGGCACTATAGCAGAATGAATCACCACATGCCTACAATCTATGTTCAGCTTTATACATATCAGGTGAAGTTAACTGTTATTCATTGTCTGTTTAATTCGGATATAAGTACTACAAATTGGTCACCCTCTCTGGGAAGCTAAATTTGTGACTGTTTCTTGTATTTTGTAGATATGCCGTGCACTCAATTACTTGCACAACGTAATTGGTGTTTGTCATCGTGATATTAAACCCCAAAATTTATTGGTGAGATACTGTTTCCTGATATCTTTAAGTGTTATCTGCGTATAATTTCTTAAACTGGTTTGTCCTGTTTGAAAAAGTTATTTTCAACTACAGCATATTGTTGGTAGTTTGTTGTGTATGTTTCATGTACACAGTTTAGATGCCTCTTCTGATGAATAAGGCATTTCAATTCCTGGTGCAGGTCAATCCCCATACTCATCAGCTGAAGGTTTGTGATTTTGGAAGCGCTAAGATGTTGGTATGTTCCGTTCCTGCTGAATTTGGTGTTTTTTTAATCAAGTTGGACAGTTAATGTAAATGATAATCATGAATGCTGTTTTGCAAGCATCGATTAGCTTAAGCTTGGATTGAAAAATTAGTTGAGACAACCCCCTCATTCTAAATCTATTGTTGAAATTATCCTTTTGTAGGTACCGGGTGAACCGAATATATCGTACATCTGCTCTCGGTATTATAGAGCTCCAGAATTGATATTTGGAGCTACAGAGTATACTACTGCTATCGACATGTGGTCGGTCGGTTGTGTAATGGCTGAGCTACTTCTAGGACAGGTGTGTTTAGAATACTTTCAGTTTGTTGGAAGTGAATCTTTTTTTTTTTTTTTTTTTTGAAATAGGAAGTCAGTCATTAATGCTCTAATATAGTATGTCAATTCCGTAACCATATACATGAGAATTTTAAATCTGAACCAAACGATTTTTACTTGTTTGCAGCCTCTGTTTCCTGGGGAAAGTGGCGTTGATCAACTTGTGGAAATCATTAAGGTATAGAAGATGATGGGATGTATTATTCCCTAAGATCATGCTTGCTTCTTTTGAAACTGATTTTGAACTGTATTTTTGTTCTGTGCTTGTCAGATACTTGGAACGCCAACTAGGGAGGAAATTAAGTGCATGAATCCCAACTACAGTGAGTTCAAGTTCCCTCAGATTAAAGCCCATCCATGGTACAAGGTTGGTTGAAAGTCGCAATAATGACCCATCGCTCCCCTTCTTTTTTATTCATTAGCATTCTAATTCCTTAGTTGTACCCGTTTCTTACTCTTAGTTGTTTTACCTGAAAATCTATTGAAGAATAATAGAATATGAGGCATTAACAAAAATGTGAAACTGTTTTTTATAGGTTTTTAATAAAAGAATGCCTACAGAAGCGGTGGATCTAGTATCAAGGCTGCTCCAGTATTCTCCGTCTCTTCGTTGCACTGCTGTAAGTACTTGAGATATGTTCTACCACCAAGATGTAATAAAAGCTTTTTGTAATTACGGAACTTCTTATTGTGGCTGTTTGAGCTTTTAGGATCGGCACATTTGTATGATGCTCTCACTTTAGATTCCATAGGAACTCTTCTTAGAATTTCAGTTGAGCAAGTTGCATTCTTTCCTCTTCTTTTACAGTTGGAGGCATGCGCACACCCTTTCTTTGATAGTTTGCGGGAGCCAAATGCGTGCTTACCTAATGGGCGAGCCTTCCCACCATTGTTTGACTTTACGCCTCAAGGTAAATACAATGTTTTACGTGTTATGTACTTATGTTACTCCTTACCTATTGTCGTGGCGGGATTTAAGTTCTGATGATCTTAAAACACATGTAGAGCTCTCTGGTGCGCCAACTGAACTACGAGATCGTCTCATTCCAGCTCACACAAGGAAATAAGTTACCAAATGCACGAGGATTGCTGTCTTTGCTTAAGTAGAGGGGTTTTTTTTGTAAATGGGATTTTGGATGCATTATCGCCCACTTAAGGGTTGGTTTCTTGCTTAAGTAGAAAGAGGCACGCTGTCTGCTGCGAATCCTGCCATTTGTGGTTTGTTTACGACGAAGGAAGAACAACCTAATCTTTGGTTTTTTTTTTTTTTTTTTTCTCATTATTAGGAGGCTGCTGACCAAGTTCTGTGTAGTTTTAAAAAAGCCCATTGCCGTCTTTGTTTGAAACCTTAGCTGGAATAGATGGATGAGAAGAGGTGTCACCTATTCGTTTAATCAATCATATATATGTTGTAGAAAAACGTCTGGTTCGTCTGCATTCATGGATTTGGTGGATGCCCACGAACTGGAATCTCTTTTTGATTTTAGAATGCGGTTTTATATATGCGTAAAATTTGTTATGTCCACCCATATTGCCCTTCCTCTTCCCCTTTTCCTTTCTCATCCGCTCATGCATTCTGAATTACGTATTCAATATGGTTTGCATTACGAAAACTGATACTATTTCAAAGTCACTGGTTAAGTGGATCTCTATGAAAGTTAATGGGCTTCAAACTCCACGACACTGACTTCTTCAATCAAGTTTAAACGGAAGTCACACAACATGAGCACCAACATTGCTTAAAGTCGAAGGCAGGATTGATTTGAATTAACGTCATGTTATTAATGTTCTTGGATGAACAAGAATCAATTCACGTTTCATCTCGCACCATATGGCAATAAATTCCAGAAAGATACTTAGATAAAAAAACATGAGATAGCTTTCTGGGCTTTGCTGGTCGCATTTTGCTTGCCTTGACCCGTGACCAGAATGACAAGTAGCGGCACGACCTGGGTTATTTATAGGAGTAACTTCAATCTGTCAGTCAAATCCATCCACCGATGCTCTTGAATCTGAAAAATTATACTGTCCTTTTCGAGTTTTGAATAATTAAAGTCCCATTGGGGTTGCCACTTACTACTTACAAGTCGTCTACGGTCTCTTGACCGTTTGCAAAATATAGTCCATATTATCTTTGTTTTAAAAAAAAAGTCTATATCGAATTTTTAAATTTATATTATTTTAATATAAATTTCTAAACTTAATATAAACAATTTTTTAGTATAGAAAGAGTAATAATTTTTTTCAAGTAAGATGATTAGGTGAATGATGGTTGAACATGGATAAACACAATAATTAATTCAATTTTCTAGTATAAATAGAAAAGAGTGATATGATGGCGGGGTTTGTGTCATTTTTTATTTGCCTGACAGTACTCTCTCCTGTTTTTATTATAAAATATTTTGATTTATTTTAGGTTTATCTTAAATTTCACTTAGGATGTCTTTTTAATTGAAATAAACATTTTAAAAATATTTTCTTATAATTATGAGAACACGATGAATGTGTAAAAATATTTTTAGTGTTTTTGCTATTTAAAAACGTATCCTAAATAAAATCTAAGACAAAATCAAAATATCTTATAATAAGAATCGCAAAGAGTATTAATTATTGATCCATCTCAATGATAATATGTAGTAAGTATTTTATCAGGATACTGGTGCTTAGTCGTGCCACTAGTGGGAACTAGTCCTTCTATCTTTAAATCATTGTCCAATTTAAATGCAATATAAACTAAATAATTTTTTCGGAACGAGAAGGGATACTATCTGATTGTGCTTCTTCTGGTTTGATCAACATAATGAATAATATATGCTTCGCATTACAGTCATATTTAGCCAACTAAGTGATTTGATTATCTAAAAATAATCTCTTTGAAGTTACTTTTAATTTGAGATTACATCAAGAGATAATTAATTTATGTAAGTTAGTACTTTGTTGAATTGCTAACGGTAATGACTAAAGAGAGATTCAATCTCCATTATTATTTATGTGATTGTGAAAGCATTGATAGCTACTTAATGATAGATAGCCAAAGATTTGCTCATCATATATGCTATACGAAGTGAATCATTGTTTAGCTAAATATGCTTCTTTTTTTTTCTTACATTAAAAATATACCTTGTCACGATGTTAGCCTTCATATGTGTGAAATCTACAAATAGTCTAATAGAGGTTTAATTTTCTCATCAAATTATTCATTATTATCTGGATAACAAAGAGTTGTTCTTTTAATATTTTTAGGGAGATTAACAAAGTATTTTGGTTGACAATGAGGATAGTTTAGCTTTGTAGTGAGATGGTAAATGTGTTGTTCTCCTAGGCGTCCATTCATTATGATGTCATGTAATATTAATTATTTATTCCAATAGAGGATTGGATCAATATTTTGAACAAGAAATACTAAGAGTAAAAACTTATAACCACTATAACATCATATAAAATCTACGTGGGGAGGAAGCCTTAAAAAACAATGATTTGATTTAAGAGTGCAAAATGACATCGGGAGACCCTTAAAGTAAAAGGCCACAAATTTTCAATTATTAATCACATAACATAGAATCTTCAAAAATAATAATTTCTCAATTCCATAATTAGTTCATGAACTAGTTTTTTTTTTAATTAATAGGTTTCTTTTTTGGCAAGTTATAATAATTTGAAATTACTCGTTGATAAAAATGCAATATATCTATGTATATATATATGTATATATATTGGTCATAAGATCTTTTAGAACATAAATATTACTCTTTCCGTCTCAAAACTGTTGTTCTGTTTGGAATTTCATTTTTAGTTCAAATTGTATTAAAAGTAAAAATCCAAGTTGGACAATAATTTTGGGACAGGAGGTGAATGTAGTAGTTTCGATATTGATTGATTAGATATATTTTTTAAATTAATCTTCTAAGAGAAATTATAAATATATATATAAATAAACATTGAATTATGGTGTTTGAGAGTTAGACGTTGAATGAAATAGTTAGGGGATTAAAATGAAAATAATTTATTTTTTCGTAATTTGATTCGGGAGAATAGAATTGTCATTGTTCAAATCTTACAAGGGCCTCAATTTTATAATTTGCTTTAGACTAGAGCCATCCGTGAGTTTGATTCTTATAATTGAATGTTGAAGTTTTTATTATGTCACAAATTCGCAAATAATCATTGTAATTTCAAGATTACTATTTCTTCCATAACAATTCATCGTTTACTTTCGTTCCAATTATTGTTTGCCATTGGCTAGGTTTAAAATTTTGACCCATGTGTTTACTTAAATAAATCATACTCTAATTCATACTCGTTTCTCATATTTATATATAAAAAAAATGTTACAAATTTTGATACTAAATAAATCAAATCACATGCACTTAAATAATAATAAGGTTATAAAAATTAAAAAATGAGTATATTTGATTGTATTACACGTTATTGTGCTTTTTGAAAAGTCAACGAACCACAAAGCTGTTCAGGGTTAATGGTTTTAGCGCACGTTGGTTTCTTCTCTTCCAATAAAAAACGCACTTAAATTTCTCGAGTTTTTATTTTCTATAATGATTTACTAATTAATTGTATTTTCAAATGAGTGGCAAAACAGATGCTTTGATCAGAGCTCACTTATACTGTTTTACAATTAAATTATCATTTGTAGATAGTTTAAATTAACGTCATTGTCTCTTCTCCTCCTCTAAGAAAAACCCTCCCTTTCTCCCAAATTACGAATAGAGGATTTTCTATCTTCTCCTTTATGAGATCCAATGAATATACTAGCTTTATGCAATTTTTTATTTGATTGTTTTTTTTTTTTTTGCTTTTTTGAGAAATTTCTTATTTCATTCATTAGGCTTATGTCTTTGTTAAGACACTTATAATTAACTATTTTTACAAAGAAGTGAAAAGAACATGTAAGGTGGTTGTGCTGAGAATATTTTAACCATAGATTACTACGTTCTTTCAACCAAAAGAAGAAAAAAAAAATGACTACTTTCTTATACCAATCATGAATATGTTTATTTTGCAGAGACTCCAAATTTATATTTGAAAATGAATATAAATCAATGATACACTATCATAAGAATAGTCACATTAATTTACATAATCAATACAAAGAAAATATTTATGAAAAACAAATATAAAAACTCTATTAAAAAATTATACATAGAAAATATTTCAAAAATATATATAAAATATTTATATGAAAAATAGTCATAAACTTTTCTTTTTTTTGACATTCTACAGGTAAGCTCCTTTTTTTTTAAAGAAAAAAATGGGAAATTAAAAAAAAAAGAATAAAAATGCTTTCTCCATTACTATATATGCCTATGGACCTATATAATAATTTAGATACTCCCAATTTGGCGTTTAACACGTTTAAGAGAGGACAAACTGCAAAATTGCAAAGGGTTAGAACATTGACAGATTTGTTTGTTTGTTGCTACTACTTTTTGTTTCCTTTTTGGAAATTAAATTATGAAATTATGTGTCTAACTCCGAAAATCAGTAAATAAATAAATACAGTAAATTTTTTCAGCAAAACAAAAAAAAAAACAGTAAATAAAATTAATTTTGTTTAAGAAAGAATAATGTCATTCACCACCAGTCATATAAAAATTAGTTTTGATTCGTCAAACAGTTGAACTCAACACACACCTAAGCAGCAGCCTCAGAAACCCCCAAATTGTCACCGTCCGATCATCAGACCTAACTCTTTCTAGGGCTTTCCGATTTCCCCCCAAAATTCCTCCTCAACCCCTTCTCAATTCCAACATTTATCAATCCAGTCCTATCCATGAACCATCTTCTTTGGTTATAGATAGTTTTTTTTGGAACATAGTAGTAGGTAATTTTTAATTTTATATTCGAATTGCTCGCATAGGATTCGCCGGGAAAGATGTCGACGGCGAGGGCACCAAGTGGCGATGACACGGAGAGGGAAGGAGGAAGCGGAATTGATACGTCTCCGTTGCTCGGGGAGCAGATCTTCCGTAACCGGCCTTATCTGCGTCGGCCACCGAGCCTACGTGGCGCGGCTCGGTTCTTACGCCGGGCGAGCAGCCGGCGGATGATGAGGGAGCCGTCCATGAGGGTTCGTGAAGCTGCTGCAGAGCAAATCGAGGAGCGTCAGAGCGATTGGGCTTACTCTAAGCCTATCGTTGTCCTTGACCTTATTTGGAACGTGGCTTTCGTGGTTGTGTCGATTTCGGTGCTGATTTTGAGCCGGAAAGAGAAGCCGTCTATGCCTTTGAGGCTCTGGGTGGTTGGATATGCTCTCCAGTGTCTGCTGCACATGGTTTGTGTTTGTATGGAGTATAAGAAGAGGTGCCAGCAGCGACATTTGGCTGGGGATTCGAGGTGGAGAGCCAGCGGAAGCCCCGGAGGACGATGGAATAGTGACAATTCCAGCTCAGGTAGTGATGATGGGGAGATGCCGGATTATGGTTCTGATAGGAGGCAGGGAGAGGATGAAACCAGGTAAAGTTTTAGTTTTTTTTTTTAATTGAAAAAAATGATAATTTTGATTTCGAACCGAGTCCTGTCCGACATCTGTAGATAATTGGCCCTTTAGAAAGATTCGGTCTCCAATCAGGTGTTTCCGGAGGAGCTATGTGATTTTCTTCCATTTTATGGAGGGTCTTTTGTAGTGAGAAAGAATATTACTTTCTGAGTTGTGAATATTTTGGTTTGAACAAGTTTAGTTTAAACGTTTGAATTTGATGCAGTGTTGCCAAGCATCTGGAATCTGCTAATACCATGTTCTCTTTTATTTGGTGGATAATTGGATTCTACTGGGTATCTGCTGGAGGCCCAAGCCTGATTAATGATTCGCCTCAACTTTACTGGTCTGCCTTTATCTCCTTTGGTTGTACTTGGCAGGCTTTCCTCATATGCTACTAATTCACCTTTTCTTTTCCATTTCTTTGCAGGCTTTGCATTACATTTTTGGCTTTTGATGTTTTCTTTGTTGTTATTTGTGTTGCTGTGGCATGTGTAATCGGGATTGCAGTTTGCTGCTGCCTACCATGCATCATCGCCATTTTATATGCGGTGGCTGATCAGGTAGTTCAAGAAGGAATTTTTTTTATGAGTTTTTGATTTTATTTAAATTTGAAGGGTATTTGTTGGTTTTGTTGAAGTAGGAAGTAATTTTTTCCCCATGTCTTTAAATTTCCTTCTCTGTGCGCCTTTACTCACGAGTAATTTCACTCTATATCGTTCTCTATTTGCTAAAAGATACCTGGTTTCTGTGCTAAAAAGAGTTTCATGTTTAATATTCAGAATCTCTTGCAATGACTAACAATTTGAATCCAATGAAATCTACTTCACATGACTATGATTGACACGTTTATGAACATAGGATTCTATGCTCTGACAATTTGCCATTTGACATAGCTTGTGCATCAGAATTTAAAGGCTCCATTCTTTGATTGCTTTCACTGACTACCATTGTCGAAATCTTTGGAAAATGATGCTCTGTTTTCTTATTTTTACACCCTTTGAAAATGCTGTTTTATTCCCTGGCTGCCCATGTAGCAATATTTTAAACACAGAGCAAAAAATTATGCACAATCAATTACAGAACTTATATGCACAATAATTATGTTGAGTGGCATGGTAATTTTCAAGCTCTATGCTGATTTTTAGGAGCTTAACCAAACATTTTATATGAATGTTATATTATTGGAAGAATAATGTATTTGAATTTAGGAGTAAAGCAGTGCTGAGTATATATTATTAAGGATTATGTCTTTTTGAAAAAAGCAGCCTTGGGTTTTGGTTTACATTCCACTATGTTGCGATCCTCTTCTTTCGAAGTTCTTAACTCTCTATCATATAAAGCAGGAAGGTGCAACCAAGGAAGACATTGAAAGGCTGCCAAAATATAAGTTCCGAAGATTCGGGGATTCTGAGAAACAAAATGGCGAGATTCAAGAATCATTTGGAGGGATCATGACTGAATGTGATACTGATTCCCCTGTTGAGCATGTTCTTCCACTGGAGGATGCTGTACGTTTTCTATTTCACCACTGCCTTCTTGCTCTTCAGTTTAAGTGATTGCCCTGTACATATTGCATGGCAGTATGACTTCTTTTTGTTACTAAGTTCCGGATTGGTAAATCATACGATAAAAACAGGAATGAGTTGGAGATCAATCTTTTCAGCATGTATTATTATTATTATGAGATAGGTATTGCTTGGTTTGGTTCTATGTGGGGGGTTGGTGAGTGTGATTTGTTGGTGACGAGAGAGAGAGAGAGAGAAAAAAATGTTGGCTTCCAGCTTTCTAGGTCAGTTTTAATGGATAAACTTTAGCATGTAGCAGAGGAAGTTGGAAAACATTTTTATGATTGTCCCAACCACCGCCGCCACCTAGCCTTTATCCCTCTATGTGACGTTAGCTTCATGCATCACAAGTCACCACCGTGCTCCACCAACTGGTTTATGACTATTCTGTATGTGAAAATGCTAACTTCTTTGCTCACGCCGAATTGCAGGAATGTTGCATTTGCCTTTGTACATACGATGATGGAGCTGAACTTCGTGAGCTCCCATGTCGTCATCATTTCCATAGTGCATGCATAGACAAATGGCTTTACATCAACGCGACCTGTCCGCTATGCAAACTTAACATACTGAAGGTTGGCAACCTAAGTGGCAGTGAAGAAGTATAAGCAAGTTGTGAGTGAACATTGACACGAATGCCCGCTTCGTGGTGTGGCAGAACTCCATAGTACACACACTGTATGTTGTATTGTGCTTGCGTAATTATGTATATGGATCACCATTTACGTTGGTGGGCTGACCAAATTGTGATGGCGGCTGCTGTTATGCAGATGTAATATGTAGTTATGGGGAAGTTGCTTTTCATATTTCACTAACTCGACCATCTTTGCATACCTTTTCGTCTAGTAGCCATTACGGTAAACTCGACGTTGACTGATATTTGACTCGGTATCAATCATTGTCGATGATATAAAGGGGGCTTTTTAGTTTTCAACACTTCTGATTTTGTTACTTATCGACAAATAAAGCCTCAACGGCTCAACTACTTATTTGTTGATCTACGACGAACATTGGAAGTTTCCAACGGGGTTGAGTACGCGATACATAACAAAGTTAGCGACACTTGACAACGCCTGCTTGGGACTTGCTGAACGAACTCTTTTTTCTCGTATGTTATATTAGGATCTTCGTCACCCATATTCCAAGTTGATACCGGAAGTTTTCTTCGCAAATCCCTGAGAAAGCCTCCGGCAACATCCTCTAGAATATTTTTGCATGGAAGGAAACAGTGTTTTGGCTGCAGCATTTCATAAGTCATTCGTAATTGAAGTCTTCGGTTTACGATTTTAATGTATCATAATCAATCCTAGACTACATTTAACTACTTCAGTGAAATTTCTGACACTACATAAAGAAAAGTACTGGTGTTAAGCAGAAAAACACAACACTGGGGAAAAAAAAAATCATAAAAACATGGTTGTTATTAGGCAATGGAAAGCTCAGACTGAGAAGCAACTATTTAGAATAAGGGCTTCATTTGCTCCGCCCACATGGATAGGCTACAAATAACAACAAATTGATCTAAGTCCTTGCACAGATTGTCTGCTAAACGATTTGAGAGTTGCTGTCTTCCTTTCTCTGGATTGAAAACTACTCTGGCTTTGAATCTAACCCAAAAACTAATAAATAAATTTCTCACGCTTTGTATTTCACTGTCTATGCATACATTAATCTCTTGTGGTAAGATCCGAAAGTAATTCGGATAATGGCGAGAGATTTCCAGCAAGGACATAAGAGGAAGATTTCAGAACACATATATATACTGCAATGAACATTTTACCTTTATCAGGCAAAACAATAATAATAATAAAAAAACTACAATCAAAATACGTCAAGTAAGCTCTTTTTTTATTTTTTTTTATTTTTGCTTAAATTCACCCAATAGACCTCATTTAAATGTGGGTAAAACCCCTCTTACAATTTCTGGTGGGAATCGAACTCTGGTCTATTATCAGGAAGGACAGCAACCTAACCACTATAAGTCAAGTAAGCTCTTCATAGGTTCAACCGCAAAGAGTTGAGGTGAATTTGTGATGGTTCGATTAGGGTGAAATTTTTGTTATTTATAGTGGATTGGAAGATATGATTTACATTTTTATTTTTTTAAAAAAAGAGAAAAAGATATGATTTACTAGTTTGAGTTATAAATTTCCCAATATGGCTTGTTTGAATGAAAGAATTTTTAAATAAAAATGTTTTAGCTCTTTTAGCACCCAGAAAATGTATAAAAATGTACTGATTGTTTAATACCATATGTCGATTCCGCGATGAATGAAACTTCTACCCGTGATCGGCTACTTATGGCTTCATATCATTCAATTATGTAATAAATACATGGAATCGAATACAGGGGAGAGTTACGTGAGAATTCTTTTTCCATTATGTGAGGATAAAACATGATTATAGTTATCTGCTCGCAGTTACAAGTCACAATCCTCATGTCTTTATTATAAATAAAATGACCGCATTCGAAGTTGACCGGTGGATTAGAACGCGGCGAACTATTGTCACAGGCCGGTAGAAGATCTGGAATATGTACGGCAATAGCAGCACTAGGGCCTGCTATCTTCATGTCCCTTAGTGCAGGTGATACGACGACGATCCCCATCAGTTTTCGCGATATTCCGGCCAATGACACATAGTTTTTGTCATTATTTTCTGTAATTCAGTTACAAGTAGAAAAAACAAAACTATTTTGAATATATACGAGAATGTATATAGTGACGCACCTATTGCAAGTACGAGTAAAAGCACCGCAGGGACAGATCTCATTGGTGCCACCATTGTTGCTGTCTTAACAAGAGATTGGATGGTTTTGCTTTATCAAAATTTCCTGCTGAATTTATACGGGAAGAAATAGAATTTCCTCAATGTTATTCCTCAAAGGATTGTAAACTGCAACTTGTAATCTAATTTTTTAAATATCTACTAGTAGAAGTAAATATTAATGGCTAAAACCAGATGTTGATGAGACAGTTTTGTGAACTGACGAAAGTTAGTAAATAGAATGTCTTTAAATTGCATAACTTAACATATATTGTATTATTAGAATGACCTATAATAGCCTAGTTACTAATTAATGTACATGTATCTTTAAAAAAACAAAAACTATTGTTTGCCTGTGAAACTTGGTTAGGGTCTTATGGACATTCTTGTCGGTGGAATGTATGGTCTTTTGCGGCTATACTAGATTTTGAGGAAAAATTCACATGCCTAGGTGGCGGAGCCAAGATTTTGGACTAAGGGATGGTCAATAAAAATAGTGTGCTATCCCTTTTCGATAAAGAAAAAAAAGAAAAAGATAGTGTGCTAAATACTTGAAAAAAAAATTAAGTACTTAAAAATATACCCCTCAATCGTAGTAAAAAAAAATTTTATATTGAGTTTTGAGATTCGTACTAAAATTACTACAAATTTTAAAATTTAATGTGGATTATTTTCTTAGGACAAAGGGAGTACTAAAGTACACTTTTATCTTCTCATAAAAAAAATTATTTAAAACCACTGCATTAATATACAAATGTTTTGCAACTGTAAGTCATATATGGTTCAAATTTATCTTAAGATATAATTAATATGTCACAATTTTACAATAAAAAAAGTTGTAAATTTGTTAAGTTTTTAAGATAAGAAAAAACAAAAACTATATTTATTCTAATTTGGATAGTAGAAAATTTCAGCAGCTGAGGAAGGAGGTTTGATGAAAGATTCAGGGAATTAAAACCATTTTGTCTTCTAGAATTCAATATTTTTTTTTTATCAGAATAGGAAAAATTTAGACATTAATTATTTCACTAAACTTGGAATTCAGTTGTAAATATATGTAATAAACTGCTAGTAGGGATGTATATGGTTGACCTTATTAATGCATATTTTACAATCTACAAAACAAAAAAATTATCCCTAAAAAAAAATCAATCTATTTAACTTGAATTATTTTTTTATAGGGAAAAAAGTGAACTACTCTTATACCTGTGTGTGTATGTGTGTGTATCAACGAGTAACCCCAATTTATTAGTTAGTTAAAAATGAAATAGAAGACCGTGTTTAAAAACTAGCCCAATTGAAGAATTTCTGTACAAATAAAGTACTCCCCTGGCTCCGTCCCATAATTATTATCCAATTTGGATTTTCATTTCTAGTACAAATTGTACTAAAAGTGAAATCTCAAAGTGGACAAAAATTTTGGGACAGAGGGAATACTATAGATTAAGGACAATCTTGTGCATTCGACAAAAGGTAAAGAAATATGACCCCCTCGGTCCAAGAATTATTGTTCAGTTTGGATTTTTTACTTTTAGTTTATTTTGTATTATAAATTAAAATCTAAATTATAGTCACTGTTGCTGACGGAGGATACCCTGCAAATATGCAAAAAAAAATAAAAATTAAAATCTAAATTGAACAATAATTTTGGAAGTGAGAGAATATTATCTACGAAGATTTATTTCACACATAGATATCGGAAAAGCTGATTGTTCCAGCATCAACAAACCTCGAAATGGTGGAGGTCAGGAGGAAACTCTATGAAATTGTCAAAATGCATAAAGACCATTGGAAGGTTGCGTTAATCATCTTCTATCACAAACGCTTTAGACTTTTGTCCATCTCCATTACGGATTGAGTTTCATGGATCATGGGAAGGTTTTTTTTTTTTTTTTTGGAAGATTCAACACTGTTTTATTGTCTATTTGAATGGTAACTTCGAAAAGGTAATTTTTACCTCAGGACTTTAAACCATATAAGATTCCTTCCACTTTGGCTGTCAGAGTAAAACTAACTCTGATGCTTTTGCTTTCTGCCAAACTGTTATAAGCAAATAGGGACATTTCCCTCCAAGTCTCCAAAAGAAAATGTGTATAGAATTTTCTTGTCTATAACAAAATTAATGTAGCTTTAGTTTTGAGACATGTCGAGGGCCAATCCTATTACTCCTAAACCAGAAGAAGATCTCCTTTCAAGAACTTTAGGGATAAACACAATTTAAGTATCACAATTCTACCTATTAATACGCCTTTCATCCTAAAAAATAGTCCAGTTAACCTTAGTTGTCATTTGATACTTTCATTCATATGGCATATCTCGGAGGCAAGTGATAGATATAAATTTAATTTTTGAAAATTTGACGAAAATGAAATTTGACTTTTAGAGTATATATGTTACAATTATAGTTGTTAGTATCGTACAATACGCGATACGTATCGCACGGTACGATACAAAAATAAAGAATTTCGATACATATCGCATGGGTATATCGTAATTGATAAAGTATCGTACGATTCTCTTCTGTATCGACCGATCCGATACATACTTTACGATACGAACAGTACACACGATACACTGTTCTATTGTAAAATTCTTTCTATTTAATTCTATTTTTTTCCAATTGACATTTCATTGGATGGTTTTATTTGCAAACTACTAATGCTATAACTGCCTCTCTTTGATGAACAAAATCAAAAAAAGAAATTCTTAATCATCATATCAGAATAAATATCGTGATTTTTCCTTAAAAAATTTGTAAATGAAATATAAAAAGTACAAAAGGTCATGACTTTTCAACTGATTTAAAACAAATTAAAATAGCATCATTATATGAAAAGAAAAATGGAATTATGATGCTTTTACTATTACTTTTCTTTCTTTCTGTAATAGACATGTCTATCCTATTATCAACATAATTTTGATTTTTTTTTTTTGATTTCAATAGAATTTTTATTAGTAATAATTGGTGGAAAATTTGTTTTTTTTTCTTATTTTTTCAATAGTATTAATCGATGCACATTGATTCAAATGTACTTTCTAAACTGAGGATTTGTCACCATGGGATCATAATAATACATTTATAATAAGAATTTAAAAAATTATAATGGCCTAAATTAACTAAATTTTTAACTCCCCCTAAAAAGAATTGGCAATTTAATAAGAAATATTTATATTTTGTGCAATATACAAATAAAAATATGCTAATTAATTTAATGATTATATATATATATTTATTTTATTATATATTACAATTATAATGTATCTTACAATACGAGACACAATACGATACACGAGTCAAAAAATTGAAATTCGATAGGCGATACGTATCTAGATTCGACAATTATAGTTACAGTGGTGTCATTGTAAAATTTTGATAATAGAGATAAGATTTTGACTCAAATCAATTTCACAATACTGCATCGAGTTTTTCCCTAGTTAAACTACTTGTTTTGGACTGGCGATATTGGCTAAGTTACTCTTAGTAATCAAGTCTCTAATTTCCTCAATATCATTATTTGTTCGTTCAGCGTCTCTGTTTATCTGCCTCCTCCAATTAGTCTATTCAACATAGAGGATTCTTTCTCTAATTAGCCTATTCAACATCCTTTTCAAAAAAGTCTATTCAACATAGAGGATTTATCTCTTTTTCCATTTTCTTTACTTCACTTTATCAGTCAAATTTTATCAAAATTTGGTAGATCTGTGTTTTGCTTCAAGTTCAATCAGTCTCCTAATTGTCGAACTAAATACTATTCTCCCAATCCCAAAAAAAAATACACATTGATTTTTTAGATTTGTTTTGTTTTTAATACATATATTTCAAAACTTAATATTGATTATTTTTTTGAGACGGAAGGAGAGTACAAGTTTATGGATCTGGGTACCTTTTCTTATTTATCAAATCAATTTTCAGTTTGATTTATTACTTTTGTGGATTTTTAATGAATGATGATCGGGGTCCTCATTGTTCTCGGATTGCATGCACGTTTATTTGTCACAGGTATCACCAGCTTATAAACATGTCTTTTGGTTTGTATATGTATTAGCATGTATTCTCAAGCTACCTACGGGTCTAGCCTAATTGCTTTGATCAGTTGGAGGAGAAATAAGTTGTCAATTTGCTTTGAATAAGAGAGAGCTCTTCAAGCTATTTGTCACTGAGAATCACCTTTGTGTGATTTGAGCTATTAACCAGGTGAATTAGTATAAATAATTACCGAGTTGAAGATGACTTATGATTATATTGTCAATCTTCTTCGATAGTACTCCTTCTGGTCCTTATAAAATATTTTGATTTCGTCTTAAATTTTACTTAAAATGTCTTTTGAATTAGAAAAAAAAAACCTCAAAAATATATTTTTACATACGTTGTGTTTTATCAATTATTATAAAAAATATTTTTAAGGTTTTTATTTGAATTAAAAAGACTACATATGTGAAACTAAAACAAAATCAAAATACTTTATAATAAATACCAGAGGGAGTAGTTTAGAACATTTCTCCAATTCCGAATCATATACATACTATATGTGTCTGAAATTCTTAATAATTTGGAGGAAAAAAATAAATCCCAAACCAAAAACTGATGATTATTGAGGATTTTAACAAAATCCCAAACAAAAAGCAAAGTTAGATAAGAACTGCGGTCTACGATGCATATAGGGATTGTTACAAATCCCAAATAAAACGGAAAGAATAATAAGTATGTGCAAATTCATACAAAGTATATCAATAACTCATGTACAATTTACCACCAAATCAATCCCAATTATCCCAGACAATTAAACAGTGGAAATTTCCTTTCACCCCTCCGTCAGAAAATCCTAACCAAACTTATCTACCAAACGGGAATGCCGGTAACCGTTCCTCCACTGGAAACCTTATCGGCAACGGGAACTCCGGCCCACGGTTGCGTAGACGAACAACTAGCACCGCCGGCGTTAAAACCAACCTTCGCCGCCGGCGAACCCTTGACGACCCTGACGGAAAGATTGATGATCCCATTCCTCTCCCCATTGTAATCCCACAACCTGTAACTCAAAAAGTGCAAATAGTTCTCCGGGACGAGCCCACCAAGGAAATCCGTCACCGGAATCTTGGCGGACCCGATCAGCCTGTCGCCGCCAGCGCCGCCCCTGCACCGGACCTCCGCTGTCAAGTAACGTGAATGCATGGGCATGTCGACCGAGAATTTCTCATCCCACGAGGGATAACTCCCGCCGTCCTTATCGACCGTCGTCGCCGCCTCGATTTTCTGGGCTTCCGATTTGATGACCACGAAAGCATTCTTCTTCAAGGGCTGTCTCCGGTTCACGGAGAGATCTTCGGCTGAGATGACCCTGACTTCTAGCACCCTAGAATCGGAATTCTTCATGACGGCCGTACCCCCAATTGATTCAGATTAGATTAGATTAGATTAATTACTGTGTGAGTGCGTGTTTATTTTCGGTAGATTAATTATGTGGGACAAAACAAATGGGATTTATTTGGGGGTGTTTAATTTATATAAGGGTGTAAAAAGGAAGATGGGAAGAAGAGAGAGAGAAAGAGAGAAGCAGTTTCAGAATTGGATTCGTAGAAAGTCTGACGAAGTAACCACGATGCCCTGTCTACGCGCGGCTGAAATACAAGTCAATTTTTATTTTACTCATGTTTATTAATATTTGAACTGGAATTGGACAAAAAGTTTGTGTCCAATTCTTTTTTTTTTTTATTTTGTCAAAAAAATTAATATAAATTATCCTAAATAAACTACTGAATTTTAATTATTATTATTTACAATTCTTTTACTATCTTCTTACTTTTTTTTTTTACAAAAAGTTCTAACGAGGAATTTAACGATTTACTTAATAAATTTTTCTTTAATTTATATACAAAAACGAAAACAATTCAGATTGCTATCCATCAGTTCCTTTACTATCTTACTACAATTTCTAAATGAGAAATTGTCTAACTATATTTATTCAAAGTTGTAAAACAAACAAAAACGAAATCGCTATCAGTCCAATCCAATCCTAGTGGTACAACATTAGTAATTGCGTGGGGCCTGGTCAGATACTAAGCAATTGCGGAGAAAATGGGAATGAAGATGCCATGCATGCATGGGTCTCTGGAGTCTCGACCATTTTTACCTTGAAATTTCTGAGTCTTATATGATGACTATTATATATATTTATTAAGCCACCAACTGAAATCAACTAACACCCATTTTGACGGTTTACCTTTTATTCATTTTTTAATATATATATATATATATATAATTGAAAACACACAGACTTTTATGTTTGTTTTTGTACGATGTTTAATGTAAATCTTCCTTTTTCATTTTTGGGTAACAAAGTTTGATGTAAATCTGATGTCATATTGTGTGTTGTAAGCATGCTTTGGAAAGCCCCATTTTTCACCGCTGCTTAGGTTTTTTGATGTATAGTTTATTTATATTGAAAATAAAGGAAGCGTGTAAACAATAACATGACTCGTATGCCTTTATCGTCGATTACCAAACCATTTGAATACGTTATCAATCAATTGTGAGAATAATAGTCCTCAATTATCATTTGTGATCGTCACTACGTACAGAATGAAAAAAGAAAAAGTGTTAATCAATACTGTATAAATTTTCTTAATTGTTGACTTTACCATAACAAATTGTTTTGGGAGGATATAAAATGACTGGTCCGTAATGTGGCAAGCGAGCTAGTTGCTAATTAAACATGTAGCAAATTAAGAATTAAACCCGTGATGATGCTTTGTTGCTGGATGCCCATTTTCTTAACTAAAATAGTACCAATTAAGTTCGATGGTGATCATGGTGATTTAAAGATTCTATTGTCGAATTGTATCCTGTTTATTAGTATATGTCATCATCAATCATTGACATTGTCTCTCATAATGTATTAATTTCTTCAAACAACCAAGCGTTACAACGGATGAAGGTCCCAAGTCCCAACAAATTAAGGAACAAATTCCCTAACGGAAACTTCCTTAACTACTAGGAGCGCTGTTGACTTTTCTTCTTGAAGCCTATTCACGTTTTTTAGGTGCAAATATATATATCAAAATGAAGCATATACCGACGCTAGCCGGCGGTGCAGGCATGGCCGATCATCGGCCAGCTGCACCTCTTAGGAGGTTTACATGCACCGCAGGTGAGCTTGGGGAACTTGACCGATAATCATGGCCCATATTATTCACCATCAAACGCGGGCAGTAAATGGGAATTAGCTAAGGAATGTTTTACAGCCCACGACTTGCTGTTATCGACCTCACGATCTACCATTTCGCCACGGATTCTCTCCTTAAAAGAGAGCTTCATTTACACCGTTACACGTTTTGGAGACGAGACTTCTTCGTCGTCGTCAAGACAGCCAACTGTTTTTTATATCAAACGGTTGTTTGGCGGTGCTCAACAGTGATGGATCTAGAACTTTTTTATTACGGGGTCGAAAATAAGATTATTCAATTGTCACTGGAGAGTCAAACTGAAAAAATTTCAATTAACAGACACCCTGCAAAGGAAAAATCCGGCCAAATTTGACCGTCCGCGGGTCAATCGACTACCCTGACCCCCCTTGGATGCGTCACTGATGTCTACTCAAGGGAAAGAAACGGCAGGCTTTTGATGTAAAAAGGATCATTATTTTGAACTGATTCCATTCGGTGCTGGAAGAAGAAATTGTCCTGAAAACTGTAGAATGTAATTCTCTCTGTTTCAAAATGATTAGATTTTTACTGTAATTTGAACTAAAATTAAAAATCTAAACTAAACGATAATTTATGGACAAAAGGATTAGTACTTTTCATTGGCGATGTTACACCTTAATTATCCTGGGATATCTTGTCCTTGCTTATGACTTGGAAATTCGCGCTGGATTAACGAATCACCTTATTCTTATCCGTCATCTTCCATCAAATCTTTAATTACTTATCTTAGTGATAAGACTTTTTTTGGAGACAATTGCATGTCAGCATTGTAAACGTAAGCAAAGCTGTCACCGCCAGGCTACATATCCTGTTTATTTAGTCTGTAAACAGAAAGAAAGAATACGTCTTATTTCCATACTTCTTCGTTATCTATATAGTTTTGTAAATTGGTTGGTGTTATCGAAAATAATACACAATTGATATAAAGTTTTCGGTTTCCGGTTTAGGAGGTTGAATATGAAATGTCAACAAATATGTCACACAATTTGGCTCTTAATATACATGTACATATAATACCATTAATATATGCTCTAATAAAATTTAAAGGGAGCGAATGAGGAGTTGGTTCAGTAGTAATACCACCCTTGCTTCAAGAGAAGGTCATGAGTTCAATCCTCCACTCCAACAAAAAATGAAGGGTTGACTCTCACCTTGTCTATTGACACCTATCGGAGTTTGTTATGGTTAACCCACTAATGAATCCCTGATTTCGCACATGAGCTTGTCACTCCGGGCATGCCTAGGGTGATTTACCTCCTATCCTGGTTTGCAAGGCTATTGCAGTGGGGCGTGGGTTTACCCATCTCTGCCCTTGATTTCCACTAATGAATCCATGATTTCGCACCTGAGCTTGTCACTCCGGACATGCCTAGGGTGATTTACCTCCTATCCTGGTTTGCAGGGTTATTGCAGTGGGCGTGGGTTTACCCATCTCTGCCCCTGATTTCGCACTTGTCACTCCGGGCATGTCTAAGGTAGTTTACTTCCACCCTCATTTACAGGGCTATTGCAGTGGGCATGGATATTTACCCACTGTGATATCTAAGTTAGTTTACTTCCTACTGTGATTTGTAGGGCTATTGCAGTGGGCGTGGATATTTACCCATCTCTGATAGGGTTTCCGGCGTTATCAAAAAAAAAAAATAATAAAAAAATAAAAAATTTGAAGGGTACGTTTATCTTAATCCGTTCACCAATGTCAATTCGACTTAGATCGAATTCTTTCTTTACAATATTTTATATTCTACTTATTCCTACCTAGAGTTTAAGATTAGAGATTAATAATGAAAAGGACTGAAATTTCTACAGTTTGATAAAATATAGTAAAATTTTTTGGAAGTTTTAACTTAAAGTGACTGAAGAAAGTGCGAAGAAAGTCTAGAACAAGAAAATTAATGATGAATTCGAAAGCAACTGAAATTTCTAAAGTTTGATGATAAAATATAAAAACATTTTGGAAGTTTTTAAATTTAACGTAACTGATGAAAATGCGAAGAAAATCTAGAGCGAGAAAATATACTACTAAAAATAGAGGAGAAACGTCGTCGTCCAGTTCCATTCTATCCTCAAGTTACAAACACTCGTCTCTGGCTAGAGCAAAACCATGGCAGCTTCGTTTCCTCATCTCTCCCCGTTGGGACTCTCAGCTTCCAAACCTCAACCACTTAAACCACCGTCAACGGCCAGCATATTCAGCGTCCCATCCACCGCCGGTCACTCTTCCATTCATACAGAGAAAGCCCATATCAAATGCTCGGCTGGACAGACCGGGTTCTTCACTAAACTTGGGCGTTTAATCAAAGAAAAAGCCAAAAGCGATGTGGAGAAGATCTTCTCCGGATTCTCTAAGACCAGGAGCAATTTGGCCGTTGTTGATGAACTCTTGCTTTACTGGAATCTCTCTGATACTGACCGTGTTCTTGATGAGCTTGAAGAGGTAACGAGCTGTTTTAGTTAAACTTCATTTGCTTGCAAAATTTTGCCCAAACTTTGTACCTTTTCCTCCTCCATCGGTTAAAAAGAAAAAAAGCTGTAAGTTTGTTTCATTTTAAATTGAATTGATACTTTGCTCAAATGGGCTTATTTAATTTTCTGGTTTCATTTGTTGTATCTCTGTAATCATAATGCGTTTGAGCCTTTTTACTATTCAAAATGTTGTGGAGTCATTTATGGGATTTTGCGCTGTGCAGGCACTATTGGTGGCAGATTTTGGCCCCAGAATTACAATAAAGATTGTTGAGAGTCTGCGTGAGGATATCTATGGAGGGAAGCTCAAATCAGGCAGCGAAATAAAAGTAAGTTTTTGTTATCTTCAGGGAATGATTTTCTTTAAATTTAATTTCAAGACGATGAGTTCACTCTGAATGTGGCATTTGGGGAGCGAATTGGTTTGATTTGATTATTGGAGTTCTAGATGTCATACTCGAGTTCAAATAGTGTTAGATTATTTTTCATAATGAAATGCATCTGCTGTCTGTTTGTTTGTAGGCTGCTTTAAAGAGGAGTATCTTGGAGTTGTTAACCAGTAAAGGACTGAAAACAGAGTTGCAACTTGGATTTAGGTTCATGTTAAATTAAATGTTTTACTCACTTTTCGTTCATGTTTATTTGAATCGTTACGCTTTTGCTTCAGTTGATCTTTGCTGATAAATGCTTCAATTCCTAGGAAACCGGCTGTGATAATGATAGTTGGTGTCAATGGGGGTGGGAAGACGACATCCCTTGGTAAGACTCTTGCACTATGAGAAAAATAATTAAATAGTTGAATGTTTAGGCTAAATGGTGGGAAACTAGAGTATAAGGCTTTTCCAACTGTGTTTATCACGGCTATTTCTATATCTTGAGTAATTTATTTACAGTTTTGTTTGTAAAGTTTATGTGTAGCTTTTATTTTTTTAATAAACTTGTTGTCTATTTACAGAATGGGAATAACTGGTGCATTTAAATGCAGGGAAGCTGGCCAATAGACTGAAGAAAGAAGGTGCAAAGGTACATAGTTTTCTTGTTTTTGTAGCTGCAGAACAATGAAACTGCACATAATTGGTATAAGATTCACGAGTTTTTAGGCTGAATTGATTCAAAGGCATTAAATTTACACTTACAGTTTTACTCTTAAACATTGGCTTTTGAATGCAAGAAGATATTCTGAAGGTTTGATAACTTTCTAAATCTTTCTGATACATTTGTCTGTGGGACGTTGCTTGACATGGGCTATTTTGGTTGCCAATATCAACTTCCTAGTGACTTTCCTTCTAAAGTCAAAGTTATTAGAGTTTGTGTTTTTCCAAGTATCTCTATTATTCAGTTATGCAAACTTCTATTCTTACCTGTATCAGGGGGCAGTCTTGTTAACATTTTTATCATTTACTCGTGTGCTTAAATATCTGCCAGATATTACTGGGGGCTGGTGATACCTTTAGAGCAGCTGCTAGCGATCAATTGGAGGTCTGGGCTGAAAGGACAGGCTGTGAGATTGTAATGGCTGAAAAAGAGCATGCCAAGGCATCTACAGGTGGATAACCTAGTCTGACTGATTTGCTTTGTAAATTATGCTCAGAGTCTTGTAACCAATCCTGACTACTGAGTGTCAAGTATTTTCTGGTAGTTCTTTCACAGGCCGTGAAGAAAGGGAAGGAAGAAGGTTATGATGTTGTTCTGTGTGACACATCTGGACGTAAGTGTCACACTTGAAACTTTCAATTATTCTAAAATGCCGTGGAATTACCAGTGATAAAAGACAAGTAAATTTGTTGTTTGATGTTTGACTTCTTATACTCAACAGGGCTGCACACTAATTACAGTTTAATGGAAGAATTGGTGGCTTGCAAAAAAGCTTTAAGTAAAATTATTCCAGGGGCACCAAATGTGAGTTTCTCTCTGCTCTATGACATCCATCCAAACCTTGGTTTTTCGCAATTTTGATTTCGCACAAAGTACTTACGTATTTGTTCTCTTTAGGAAGTTTTCATTTTTTCATGATTATATTTGTTATTGGATGCAAATCTTTATGCATTTTATTCATCACCCAATTAAGAATCAGGTTATGACTAATGCTACTATTTACCTGTGAATGTTTGAAGGAAATACTTCAAGTATTGGATGGAACTACTGGTTTGAACATGCTTCCTCAAGCAAGAGAGTTTAACGAGGTGATGTTTTTCTCTTTTTATATTACGTGAAGAAATGTTACATTTAGTTCTCAGTTAACTGAAGCTAACATTGGAGAGAATTTGAGAATGTTGAATGGGAAGCTCTTCTAAGGAATGCTCTACAATAATCACAGACATACTCTGTTTAACTTTAAAATCCAACCTTAGTCGTACTTTAGTTTCTGATACCTGTATGATGTTGTGCTGCAAGTAGTCCTCTGCACCAACAAATGAATTTCGCTTCGCTAGATGATTTGGTTAAGATACTAGAATACTCTATTTTTTTATTAGCTGATCCTATGTCTTTTCATTGCCTTATTAAACATTACATCGCCACCTTTTTATGTTCTGAGGCATGCTTGTAATACTGTTAGCGAATCATCTTTTAGCTTGTGGGTGGTAGGCACTGTAAGATTGCTTATCCTAGTATGTTTTGTGACTGAATGAACTTTGCTGGCAGGTGGTTGGAGTTACTGGTTTAATATTGACAAAACTTGATGGATCAGCAAGAGGTGGCTGTGTGGTATGCTTGTATCCCTCAGTTGAAATTTCTTCAACTTGTTCATTGGCATATTGCTCTCTTTTCTTATTGATAAACATAACCTACAGTAATCTAACTTGCTAATGTACGCCTTGAAGGTTAGTGTGGTCGATGAACTTGGAATTCCTGTAAAGTTTGTAGGAGTTGGTGAGGGGGTTGAGGATCTCCAACCTTTTGATGCAGAGGCATTTGTGGATGCAATATTTCCTTGATGCATGAGGTGCGTGACATTAACACAACTTAACCTAGTCTGTTTAAGATACCAGTAATATGAAAGATTTGAAATTGACAATCTTAATTTCAATTTTTTTAATTTTTTAATTTTTTATTTTTGGTTAAGTCTAATTTCAGTTTTTTAACAAAATGGCAACTTTCCCAACTGTGCTTCTGAGTTCTGACATTACATTTTCATGAATACTTTGAAAGCAAGTCATACTGCCTGCCATGTTTCTATCGGGACAGCTCTCTGAAATTTTGCCATGCACTGCTAAATGTGATGCAAATGGAAACAAGCAATGATGTAGCAGTTATATAATTTGTTGCTAAGTTTGAATGTTGTGGTTAGAGTTATAAATGATATTCTTTTTGTTTACTTTCCTTCTCCGAATGCAGGATTCTTTTACATGCTGAATTTTGTGGAAGTTAAAACAGCAATCAGCTTTCGTATGATACAAATGCAATTTTTATCCAGTCAAAAGCCCAAACAAGTACCAGGATCAACAAGATGGAGACAAATCCCATAATGTGAAAGTCCTTATTGCCAGTAATTCCTTCTTTTGTAAAATGACAGAGCCAAGTCAAAAAAGTAATAATCTTTGTACTGGTATCTGATTCACAGAGATATCATTCTTTTCCCTTGTCTTGGGGTCAAAATAGGCGCATTTGTATTGCTGATCTTGATCATTTGGCTATGTAGAACTGTAAATAGCAGCAGGTAGTGCTTTGATATGTATAAACTTGTTAAACCCCTCCATTGGATGAGTTTCTGCCTAAAGCATAAGCATGAGGATTATGAGTATTTCCCTGGTTAAGGTTTGCAGCCCTTTGTTATTCTGGGGATTGTTAGTTTCCCAGTCCAACTGCTTGATTTGATAGATGATGACCAGTCAACTACCATCACAGATGCTTCAGGCAGCGGTTCGCAGAAAAGATCATTACTTTATTCTCAGTCATATACAACTAAACCAGCCACCACAGACCCAAACGGTTCTTCTAAATTCTTTATAGAAATTCTTGCCAGGCCTCTGACACATTTTTAACACAAAACAGAATGGTGCTCATGAATAGATCAAAAGAAAACTTTTGCTTGCATAGTTGTAGGGAAGAGAGTTAACATATATGCAGGTCAAGACCTATATGTAAAGGGTACAAATATACAATCGAAGAGAGCTTTCTTTGCTCACATTAAGCATATCACGTCATTAAAAAGGCCTTAATATCTTGTATCACTTCCAAAAACAACATGATTTGCCACGCCAATTTACTCATATCCTCCATGATGCGAAAGAAAGCTATAATACACAAGCTACTTTTAAATCTAAATGGACATGGTAAAATGGCAATGTCAAACAAAAGCTTGCTACTTCTTTGAATTAATATCTCGAGTGCAATTTTGCAACATCAATATAGCAAGTGGAACCTGCATGTCTGTACATCTTGACCTCAAAATGTAATCATAGACTTGCAGGTGGTAGGTGATATAAGGTAGCACGAGAAGTGTAAACCAATTTGCCCGATTCCTCTAACTTGAACTCAATAGCAACCACAGTAAGGCTTCTCCCACTTCTTACCACAGATCCATCAACAATCACTTTTGACTGTGAAAGAAGAAATAATCTTATTCAATACACAGACATATTAAACAACACAAGTAAACTCAACTAAAAAGTCTAATGCATCATTCGAATGACAAAAATACAAAAGCAGGAAGGCATCAAGCAAATATGTCGAGGTCCAACTTCTATATCATTTAGGTCTACTTCATGCCTGTGACAATTCAATGCAGAACTTCAAAGCAACTGATTAGAGAACATTTCCTTCATGATTTTTTGAATTTCTTTTATTTGTGTCACAATAGTCTGAAACACAGAATGAAATGAAAAAACTTCTAGCAACCAAGATGAGACTTCCCAGGACATCAAGAATCATTCAAGATCAACCACAAACTAATTTTATAACAGCAGCAAATAATTAGAAGTTTCATGCAACCTCAGAAGGAGCAGCAGAGAGATAAGATGTGCTCAATTCTCCAAGAAAAACATCTTTTTCCTTTCCCACGACAGTCCTAGCACAAGCAGTAGCCATCAGCTCGGATACCGCCGCAACTGCTCCTCCATGCATCCCGCCATAAAGATTCTAAAATCAAGAGAACCAGAGCATCTTGGATTAGTGGAACAGTCCATGGAAAAACACAATAACAGAAGAAATAAACCCACGGTATCCTACAATCTACTGCAACTGATGAAAAGAAAGAAGCTACACTAGCTCTTTTTAACCAATCTAAATGTCAACCAACATAACAGTTGGAGATAGTTTTGTTCAGCAAATTCGTAAGGTTAGTGAAATTGTGATCAGAAATGCACTTTTCCTCCCTTTGTCTTCACTCTTCACGACTCTCAAAAGCTTCAGATGTTTTGAGCAATGTAAATCCAAACCTAAGCTAAATACAACATAATTCGTTGAGAATCCCCAAAAAAATGACATCACAAAGAAACCAATTCATAGCAACCCAAAAACACATTTCTCCTACCGGGCTACCTTAGTTTTATCCATGAACCAAGAATAACAGAATTTGTAAAGAAAATAAATTTAATGCACCCAAGAAATATAGTCCAATTTGTTGAAGTGTTTTAGTTCAACAAAGTGGAGTGTTGTCCATGAAACAGGAGTATCTAATAAAAGAACCAGTAAGATTTTGATGCTTTGTAAGCATTATAAATCAAGAAGTAATCAACTTTCTGGCTATCTAATAACAGAAGCAGTAAAAATTGGTGCTTTTTAAGCATTATAAATCGCCAAGTAATCTACTTTCAGGCCATTTCGACGCAACAAGATCATAAATTTTATAAATTCGAGCTAAAACATTAAGATGGGTTTGAGGTGGTTAGATTGAATTACCAGGATTGGAGGCTTAACAACGAGGAGGCATGAGATTTTGCCCGGTTTGATGGAGCGGACCTTAAGAAAGTGCCGGAAGAAGTCAGAATAAGAGTCAGTGGAGTTCAGATGAGCTGGGATGGCCGAAGAGAATCTGACATCGGCGAAGAACGCACGCACCATTAACAGGGCATCGGAGACGATGTCTTTGGAGACTGTAGGGTGTTCATCTGCATCAGAAGGCAGGTCGTCGTCGCCGGCAAAATTGAACGGCCGTTCGTCTTTGTCCGTTGCTCCCATTTCCTCACAGGTCACAGCCCAGTCGTTTAATTGGGCGAATGAGTTTGTTGCAAAATTGCAATTTTGACTTCTAATATTCTTCCCTACTGCAGAGTAGTTTAAAGAACTCCGAATTATTCTTTGATTAATGATACGTACAGAAAGAATAACAAAGAAAAATGACAAGGAATTGATTATAATAATTTATTTTTAATATTTTTAATTTTTTGTTTAAGCATTTAAAGTTAAGGCATAAGTAGATAATTGACAAATCATTCTTTGTAAGTTTTCTTTGGGTAAATTTTAATTCTTTTTCCTAAAAAAATGCATTAATAAATGAAAAAAATAAACTTATTTTAAAAAAAAATGTATTTACAGTTTTCCTCCAAGAATATTAATTCAGAATGGAGGAAATAATACCTATACATACATACATACATATTAAATCCATGGGTAATAATATCGCCAGTTCAATTTTTAGCCTCCAGAGCAAAATTTAAGATCTTGTATGGATGATAATTTGTTTCACTTTTTGGTTTGAATTTAAGATGTGATTAAAAATATATTTTGAAATAAAATTTAAAAATTTGTTTAGATAGTTTTTTTAATTAAAATAATATTATTTTCTTACCACCACTCGCCAATACTTTCATCGCCGGATTCGAGCCAATTTCCGACAAACTCGCCAAAATTTGGCCGGATTCCGGTCAGTTGGTCTCCGGCCAGTGGTGGTCTGGCCGCGGAGGAGGGCGATTCGACGGCGGAGGTGGGTGGCGGAGGTGATCCGATGGTGGTGGGTAAAAAATATGTTAAAATAATTTTTGAAATAAATTTTAAAAAGTAAGTTAAAATGTTGTTTGAATAGTGTATTGGGTTTTGTGTTTAAGAGGTAAAAGGAAATAAGATGAAAAACAATAACCATACAAGACCTAATTTTTTCTAAAGTTGCCAATAGAAAGTCAAACACTTTCTCTTCCACTTTTTTCCTCAATTTTCCTTTTGTTTCTCCCTGCCGCTCTAAGCAAAACAAGCACCACTACCCCTGCCAATGAAGGGTAGCCAAGTGGTAAGGGCTTTGGCACTCATCCACGATGACGCTGGTTCGAACCTCTATTGCAGCGATTTGTCGCCAAAGAAAGTGCTTTTAAGGATGGACAAGTGGACTGGACATAAACGCTTAGAGTTTTCTCGTAGTAGCATTATCCCCTTCCCCATATACCCCATGTATATAATAGTCTAGGCACTTGTAAGTTAGTTCTTATTAAAAAAAAAACACCACTACCCTGAAAAATTTAACACAAAACTCCAAAGTAATAAAAGCTTACAAATCAAATCAATTAAAAAAAGTCGCGAAAAAAAATTAAAAGACGAAAATTGTTGAGATTTGGGATATTAAGGACCAATCCACTAGTGATTTTAGGGCTTGCATAATCACAATCTTCATTCTTATGGGTCAGTTCTACCCGTTTATCTACATTTCACCAATCCCTTAGACTAACTCAAGTTTCTTCTAGGGTTCCCTCAAGTCATCATTCTTGTCTCCCTCGCAACTCCAGCGCCGCCCAACCATTTTCCACTCTCCGTGGCCGAATTAATAACTTCTACTCGCCGGCAAATACGCCAATTTTGTTACCGCAAAATGCTAATAATTTTATTTAGATTAAAAATATCAACTTCATAACCTTCAAGCAGCAACCCCAAAAGTTTAGGCCAACTAAAAAGATGTGAAACATTTCATTCCCTGATTAATCTCCAATGTACATTGTAGGAAAAATATGCAGACATAGCAACTTCTTGGAGGATTAAAAATCAGTAGCCGACCAAACGAGATATTTGTCAATCGAATCATACCTTCTTCTTTTTTACAAGTCGAAATAGGCTTATTGACAAAGTAGATCGAATTGACAAAGTGGTGATAAATGCTGATGAGAGAGACTACTCATTGTGCAGTAAGCGAAAAAGGAATAAATTAAGCAATAGAGATTAGAGAGAGAGGAAATAAAGAGTTTTGACTTCACAAGGGTTATTTTGGAAAGATTGGTAAATTTTGCTCTGCAAGCTAAAAATTGTGTTGGCAATATCGGTAATTTAAATCTACCTACAGAGAAAGTTAGAAGGTTTTCTATTTGCTATTCAATTTTTTATTTTTTATTTTTAAAAAAAACTTGAAATCAATTCATTATAAACCTTAGAAGGATTATAAATAACATATTTCAGTAGGTTAACCTTTTCTCCTCTGGTGCAAAATCTTTCAACTTTGAACTAATTATTTTGATTTCTGATTTTTTTTTCAACTTATTTTGTGTTGTCTTTTGTTTTTATCCAAATAAATCTCCGATTAAGAATCTATCAAGATTGATTCCTAATTTTATTGAACCAAATCTAGAAGAAAATTGAGATTTTAATTTTATTTTAATTTTTTTGAAATACGCACAACATCTACTCCATCCCATATTGTACATTAATTAAATATTAATATTTTATTTTCTTATAAATATTAAGGGATAAATTCACTTTTTACCCTAAGAATAGGGGTCTCCAAATTATGTACCCTAAGAATTGGTCTCGCCAAATTATGTACTCTATGTTTGAAATTTATTGTTTTGAGTACTTTTTGAATGGCAAAATGGGAAATTAACAAAATTTCGTCTTAAATTACTATGTTTTTGCCTCCAAACTTCTGGAAAAGAGAATTTTTTTTTTAAAGGTAAAATGTAAATATACTGCTCCTTCACCAAAATCACCCCATATTTGCAAACATGTACAAACTCCTACTTAGACTACAAAACTTAGATCTACAGCCCCTTTTACAAGATTCATTTGCACAAAATCAATTAAGCTTTCTGTTACATAAGTGCTAACAAATTCAAGTAGTCTCTCTCCTTTGCTTTCAGCTTCTGAAGCTTGTTCTGTACTTGCCATCGAATCTCCCTCTTGATCTCATGGACAATTACCTCCTCTGTTTGACATTTGCCTTCATGGATCTTTTGGTTCTTGGCTCTCCACACATGGTAATAACCTGCAGCAATGACAACAACCATTACCTTTTTCCTAAATCGTTTTCCCTTCCGAGCATAGTCCAGTTTTTGCCAATTCTTCACTTTCAGCCATTTTTTAGAGAACTGCAACCATTTTCTAAGTTCCTGCAATATATTTTGAGCAAACAGACAGTCTAGAAACAAGTGCTCTACATTTTCTTCACTACCAGAACTACAAAGAGGACAACTTCTATAATCAATCATCATTCCCCATCTGCTGTAACCTTGCCCTAGTAAGAATCCTTCCCTGCCAGATCAGCCAGAGACTAATGCAGTGCTTTGGAACATTCAGCCTGTTCCAAATTACTGAAGTTTCTTTCTATTTAGGCTTTTCCTGTGATACAAACTGAACTCCTGAGGCTATAGAGTACCTACCATCAGGATGAGCCAACCATTTCCCCTGATGAAATCTTTCTTTCAGTTTATCTCAGATACTAATGATTTTCTTCCAGTGCCAGCTCGAATCCTGCACTGCTGCAACCTCCCAGAACCCTCCTTTCTTCAAGTAAACACCATGCATCCATCTAATCCAGATATTATCTTTTCCCTATGAAAATTTCCACACCTATTTATCTACTGCAGCCATATTCCATATCCCTATATTTTTTATACCCAATCCCCCTTTTTCCTTTTCCTGTCACACCTTCTACCATGAAACAAAAGCAAACACCCTCCCTGAATTTTTAGTTCCCCACAGAAAGCCCCGAAACAATCTTTCCACCTTCTCTACAACACTTTTCGGGATTAAGCACACTAACACTCAATACGTATGCATATGCATCAGTACTGTGTTTATTAATTGTACTCTTCCCATATACGATAAGTGTCGAGATGCCCAACTCTTAAGTCGACATGTAATCTTATCCACCAGACTGTGACAATCCGTTTGAGACCACATCCCAGATGATAACGGAAACCCTAAATACTTCAGCGGAAAACTTCCCCTTTCAAACCCCACGCGCTCCTCGATTCTATCTCTTACTTCATTAGACACCCCACTCACATAAATCTGCGACTTTTTCAAATTTGCAACTAAACCTGATGTTGCTCCAAATTCCTCTAATTTCTCCTTTACCGTTCTGACCGTATTCAGTTCAGCTTTGCAGACAATTATTAAATCATCTGCAAAGCATAAATTCACAATCTCTAATGCTTCACATTGTGGATGAAACTCAATGGTTCCTTTCCTTATTTTCTCCTTAAAAAGCCTTGTAAGATATTCCATCACCACTACAAACAGCAAAGGGGATATAGGATCTCCTTGCCGAAGTCCCCGTTTTTCCTTGAAAAGCCCTACCAGATTTCCATTTAGATTTAAGGAGAAGGTACTCATAGGATCTTATGGAGAAGAAAATATTCTGTTTGACAGCTATCAATGCTGACGTCTTAAAACCTCTCTTTTCTCTCCTTGCCGAATACTAGAAAATTTGCCGGCATAACCAGAGGCCGAGATAGAGGTGGTGGAGTGGCGAAGGAACCTATGAAATTGAGCAAAAATGAGAGTGGAACGCAAGTGGTTTCTCAGATTGTTATGGGGATTCAAGGGCTAGATGAAGGGGAAGCTCAGATTCACGGGAATGAGTGCAGGGTACTGGAGAATACTAAAGTCAATTCGGCCTACAACAGCGATACACAAGTAAGTAATTCTAAAGCATCTGAATTGAGTTGTAGATATGTGCAAGGGTTAGGTGTACGAAACGGAGATGAACCGATTGAAAGTAGGAGTGAAAGGGTAGGGGAAAGTGGTGTGAAGTTAGATGAAGGCTAGGCGGAATTTGATTTGGACAAAGTGAAAGCAAAAGGCCCAGAACTGGAATTCATAGAACCAGTTTTGGTGGAGAATGAAAAAGTTGCCTTAATTACAATGAAGGATATAGAAAAGGAGATTGAGCTATGGAAGAACACTGTGGTATGCTATGTCTTAGGAAGTCACTTACCTTTCCAGGTGATGTCACGATTTATCTATCGAATTTGGGGTAAATTGAGAATCGAGAAAATATTGAGAAGGGAAGAGGGATACTTTATTGTATAGTTGAAGAATGAACAGGGGAAACAACAAACGCTGGATTCGGTTTATCACTACTTTAGCAAGCCCCTTTTAGTGAAGGATTGGAGCGTGAAAGATGGGTTTAAGCATGGTGACGTATTCAGTTTACCAGTGTGGGTACAATTACCAGACTTAGAGTTAAAATATTGGAGCTCTAATCAACTGAGTAAATTGTTACGTGTTATAGGGAAGCCTAAGAAGATGGATGATCTGACCTGCAACAGAATGAGGGCTGGGTTTGCTAGGGTTTTGGTAGACATGGAGATCAAGGAGTCTTTGCCTAAAATTGTGAAGTTTGTAGATGAAACAGATAGATTGGAGGAGCAAAAACTTGTTTATGAGTGGAAACCTGTAATATGTGGGCAATGCAAAGGCTATAGGCATGTCCAAAAAGAGTGTAAGGTTCCAGTAAAGCCAGTGTGGAAGCATAAAAAGGATGTGGCCAAGGCGAAAGAAACAGTAAATGAAGGAATAGGGATACAACAACAGGAAGAAGGGGGTTTGATACAAGAAAACACGAAGCCAGTAGATCAAGCTATGAACATAAGCACGAAGATGCATAAGGAAACAGTGACATATATGAGGAAGGTAGTCCAATTAGTACAAGGAGAGGATAGGAAGGAAATGATTAGACCAATTGAGAAGAAGAGAAGTATAGTGCTAGGGGAAAGTAGTGGTAGTGATAAGGGAACCAAAAGGACAGTAATGATTTTACTTTTACCGAAGAATGCTACTACCAGGGAAAGAATGGATACAGGGAGTGAAGGGGGGAACCATTAGAGCAAGATCCTGGTATTATATGAATAACATAATGATGTGGAATATAAGAGGGTTTAACAACCCTCTAAGACACCAAGAAGTAGGTAACATCATTAGACGACATAAAGTGGGATTACTAGGGTTGTTAGAAACAAAGTTTAGTGCTGAAAAATGCACACAGATGATGGCAAGATGGTGGAGGGATTGTGATTAGTTGGATAATTCAGTGCAGAACCAAAATGGTAGAGTTGTGGTGAGGTGGAAAAAGAGGGGAGTACAAGATGGTGGGATTAGAGATAAAGGCACAGTTTATTCATTTTCAGGTTGAAAAGAGCAAATTATACTATATATTTTAATGATTTTACAAAAGTTTATCTTTTAGTCAAAGTTCAACAAATTGCACCTAGATTTTTGGTCAAAAATTTCCCATGGCTTCCAGTGTTTATTATTATTGACGTACATGTTTATTTTATTTCAGCGAGTTTTTCTTTATTATAAGTTTTATTTATATTTTTATTTGTCATTTACATAATTATTTTAAAATTTTTTTGAACAAATCAAAATGTTTTATAACAAGAACATCTTCATTAAATTCATCTCTTCATTAGTTCCTTATAATCATCTCCATTTTGGCCATGGTGTAACGCACTTACAGCAAAAAAAAAGAAACACGCACGTGAAATGGTAACAGATTGCGAAATGTGGATGCATGTTCTTGGATTACGAGTTTTTTCATGTTTGTCTAAATTGGATCACACGCAATTAATCATTCGAAATTAATGATCTCGGGCCAATACGTTACGGAGCATGTCATTAAACACATGGCCGATTTTCTACGACCCGGACCGAAAAGTCAACGAACCGCCCGAATGTTTCTATTCCTATGTCCGTGTCGTCCCAAAAAAACCGGTACAACCTTATTAGACCGGGCTTCAACGCTGTCATTCCTTTATATTCCTTTCCCAGTAAAGAACACAGAAGAGAAAGAAAAAAAAAATCATTAGGCGATTTTGATCTTCTTTTTTTTGGGTTGGTCTCTTTCTGCGAGTTGCTGTCATCCCAAATCTTTTCATTTGATCCAACATCCAACCATGCCGCGAGGGACCCTTGAAGTTCTTCTTGTCAGCGCCAAAGGCCTTGACAACACTGATTTCCTCTGTACGTTCTTTTCTTTTCACTATCTCTGTAGTTGTTGACCCTTGAAATTGAATCCAATTCTGTTTTATCTTGTTTCCTTCTTTGTTTTCTCTGATTTCAGCTTCCAATCTGTTGTGTTTAGGTAGAATTTTGTGGGGATTTTTTTTTTTTTTAGTGATTCAGATGGATAATTGATGATGTGACTTTATGGTATTGGAATGTATGATTTAATCGTTGTTATATCATGGTCGAAAAATGCATAATGGAATCAAGATCTTCCTCTGTTATTGAGTGGAAATTCAGAATTGCGAAGAATTGCATTTTTATCTGTGCTGATGTCTACTCATTATTGTTCATTTCTTATGGGTTATGGAATTTTTTGTGGGAAATGAGGAGATGATCAGTTAGTTATACATGAAAGATATTAGACCACCTTCTGAGATAGATGCATATCTCGGAAGATCTGTCCGTTCTGAGAGTACCTATTGCCTTCTAAATACTCCATGTGAAATCCGAAAGACCTGGTTGATTCCCCTGAAATATAGATCTTTGAATTGGAATTTGTTGTTGATCTGTTTAATGATTGATTTCCCTGAACGGGAAGTTTCTGCATCATCCAAAGATTTGATACAAAAATTAGTGATTGTTCAATAGTGTGATGCATTTAATACGATCATTATCCAAGCAAAAGTTTGGAACTTTCAGCACTTTTGTTTCTAAAACACTAGGCATAAGGAACCTATTTGTTATGCATTATGTCTGAAATCTCTCTTTAAGACATAATTTAGGGAAACCTGGTTGGATTGCTGCCAATTCTCATCACTCTAACAGTGACATTTCTTTTATTGTTTCTATTGAGCAGCTGACATGGATCCTTATGCCATTTTCACCTACAAAACTCAGGAGAAGAAGAGTGGTGTTGCATCAGGTTCATTCATAACTATTATTCTGCCATTTAATAGTTTGAATTAATGTTATCTACCCGCAAAGATGAATGAATGTGGTGTTGGATTAATGCATAATATGGATCAAATGTGATGTTTCCCAGTGCATTTGTTATGATGATATCAAGCTTTCTGTTTGTTCTTCTATGTCCTTCAACAGTCTTCATAAACATTCAATGCAGGTAAAGGGTGCGATCCAGAATGGAATGAAACCTTTTTGTTCTCAATCTCTGAAGGTGTTAACGAACTCAAGATTAAACTAATGGACAGCGATAACTTCAGTAGTGATGACTTAGTTGGAGAAACTACGTGAGTAATGCTCTAAATTTGTTTTTTTTTTTTTTTTAGTAACGAAAGTGACTGAGAATGATATGGCGCAGCGAGAACTGCATCTTTGAAATGGTGAAAGTGTAAAGAATTGGATTTTGGTGCTATGTTCCACATGTTTTTTGTGATTATGCCCACTCCATGATTGCAGGCTGCAGTTCATTCTGTACATATATATGCTTATAAATTATCAATCTACATATTATGATTGAGTTAAATATATGCTTTTTTCTGTTATATAGAATCCCCCTAGATGCAGTGTTCGATGAAGGAAGCATTCCACCAACTTCATACAATGTTGTCAAGGATGATGAATACCGTGGAGAGATTAGAATTGGTCTTAATTTTACTCGGGAGGTATAGTATAGCTAATTTTTCTGCACACAAACTTGTTTCGTATTGGCACAATCTGAACAAAAAATCCATTAATAGAGAGTAGAAAGTGTCTGGAAAATCCACTGTCTATTCGTGAATGCTTCAATGAACTTTCATGATTCGCATTTGAGGGGCTAATGTGGTGACTGCTTATCTCCATGCAGAGAAGCATTGACGGGGGATTTGGACAGGAAGAGAACATTGGTGGATGGCAACAATCAGCTAGAAACTACTAAATTATTGTCTGGTATTGAGCTTTGCCGTGTGAAATACTTTTCTGAACATCCATCTCCCAAGGTTTGAGATGCATGTTTGCATCTTTGTATGATCACTTTTTCTCAGAAAACAGTGTTGGTATTCGTCAACAAGACCTTGATATTAAGCCAATGTCAAGTTTCTGGTTTGAAGACATTGATTTGCTGTTCTGCCTCTTAGATTAACTTGCATTCTCAGATGAAAATTCAGAAAAATTTGGCTCTTTCTTCAAAGAGTATACTCTGCATACCCTGATAAATTGTGAAACAGCAAGTCTTTATTTTGCCACCTCTGGAATCATCATTTGAATCATATATTTTCATCGTACTGGATCTGGATTGATGAATGTGGTAAAGAAATAGATTCAACGCTTGTGCATGTTCAAACTTCTTTCATAAATGAGAGGGAAAACCCCCATTTTGATATCAGTACAAAAGAATGAATAGAATAGGATATCATGGTTACAACTTGAAATATACCTGCATTGGGACAAAGACTACATTTATTCATCCAAGCAAAATTTAACTAAGCGGAAATCCAAAAGAAATCTCAAATATCATCAAGATCTTATCTCGGTAACATCCCATCAAGAACAATGATATTGTTTAAGGAATGCTGCTGGAATTCGGAGCAGTGTCAATTCCATGCCTCTGTGTAGGAAATGTGACGATCAGCACACTGCAAATCACACCATTGGCAATAGGAAGGGAATTGAGAATCTCTCCCATCTGAACTGAAGGCTTAGTGTAAAAGCAGTTGACAATGTTACTATCAAGAAGCGCGATGGTGGCGAAAACCAGCAAGGAAAGAAAAGCTTGCAAGAAATCCAACGCATTGATCCTTCTCTTCTTAGCCTCTTCAGGCGGAATAGTCACATTCCTATCAATCGCATAAAAGCCTCTAAATGTAGCGAACCCGTAAAACACTTTTCCCTTCTCATCCTTGTAACTATCCGAGAAACTAAGCACGAAACATGAAAATCCACATAGCGCTAAGAGAACTGCGGTCATGATCCGCGTGGCGTTGTCACAAACACCGTGATTGGATAAAATGGGAGTTAAGAGCTGGAAAGTGAGGACTGTTCCGGTTGGGAGACGGCTGGCTAAGTAAGCTGTGCCTCTGAATGTTGAACTTATGGCTTTCCTTATAGCAGAGTTTTGATCATCATCAGAAGACTTAGATGATGGTGTTTTGGGGGTTAAAAGGGGTGTTTTTTGGTCATTTTGGGCTGGGGCAGCTGGAGTTTCTACTTTGATATCCATGTTGTGTTTCTCTTTTTTGGTCAACAGTGGGGGGAAATTGGCGAATTCTGAATTCAGGCTGTGAATATGATGGTGAAATATGTAACAGGTTGATGATCAATTTATAGGTGTGATGAGAAAGACTTTGAAGTTGCAAGGAAGATAGCAGATGATGTTAAACAAATGATTTGTTAACAATACTAGTACGTGTGTAGTCATCACGACTTTGATTGGGTAAATTAACTTGGAAAAGACTTGGTCCAAAAATACAATAGAAATGCAACCAAGACCAAAGACATTTCAAATGAGCAGCCATCACGATCTTGATTTTTAAGTTTTGAACAACTTCATCTGTTTCTAACAACGTGTATATTTCACTTGATTTAGAAGATTATATTATTAATCTATTGTAGCAGTTAATGAATTTTTCAGGCATATATAATTATGAAAAGATATCGAAGTGTTTACAATTCATAAAGCAGATTATTATTCGTTTTGAGGGTGAACATTGTACTGTATCCCAATAAATAATAAAAGAAAAAAAAAACCTAAAAGACAAAAAAGGACTTCACAATTTAGCTCTTGTTTTTAAGACAGGAATGAAACAAAGGATCACCACTTTTTCCATTATGTTGCTCGGGAATTTTGTTGATTTTTATTCTTTACATTTGAAAATTACAAACATTCTTATTCAACGAAAATAACCAAAATTATATACTCATTCTCTCCTGAAAAATGATTGTTTTGTCTTTGTTTATTCATTACAAAAAGTGAACTAAAGGAGTATATCAAACATTAGAACCTCAATCTCCAATAGCATTAGATCATGAGGAACTTGCTTCTTGTTCCCCAATATGTGACATGAATCTTCATCATAACAAAAGGAGCGATACATCTCCATTAGGAGAGGAAAGATAAGAACAAATTGTATTTACAATTTTTCTGGGACTTTGTTGTCATTCCATTGAATAAACGTCAAATTTCTTTCCATTACCCATATGCTCTCTCTATGATATCTCTCTTTGGTGCCATTTTCCCACCACCTTTCAAAAGTATAAAGGAACTAATTTGATGAATATATATATATACATATATATATATATATACATATATATATATATAGATGGATGCGGATGGCGTAAAATGCAGTAACTATATCTGTCTAATGTTTTAATTCGGCAAAGAATTTTTTTTTTTTTTTTGGGAAAAATATATAGTATGATGGAGTAATTATTACGTTCATGCATGTATTCATCCTTGCCTACTTGGTCAATGCTTGAATGGTCATCTACTAATATTGGCCAGCTCAATTGCTAGTATTTTATTACATATTCCATTCAACTTATACACTTGCACAGTAGTGACTATTGGCGAGGATAAGATGCAAGAAATTAAGGCACAATCATTTTAGTCAATATGTATATCCATTGGCATCACCATTAAAAGACCAAAAGAAATTACACAACACAAAAAAAAAAATAAAAATGAAAATCACTCAACAAAATCAAAACTCCATCATCACTACTTACAATTATAAACTTGCAAGTTATTACAACATTGAAAATCCGCATCATTGAGAGAGATGCAGACACTTACACTCTTTATGATCTAACAAACTTTACTAAAATTGAATTCAAAAGGCAACTAATTAATCAAGAATCATGATCTTGTCTTGGTAATATAATGTTTAAGGAGTCGGAGCAGATCGGTCAATGCCGTGCCTCTGAGTAGGAAATGTCACAATCAACACGCTACAAATCACACCATTGGCAATAGGAAGCGAGTTGAGAACCTCTCCCATCTCAACCGAAGGCTTAGTGTAAAAGCAGTTCACAACATTACTATCAAGAAGCGCGATGGTAGCGAAAACCAACAATGAAAGAAAAGCTTGCAAGAAATCCAAAGCGCTGATCTTCCTCTTCTTAGCTTCCTCAGGGGGAACACTCACGCTCCTGTCAATCGCGTAGAACCCTCGGAACGTCGCGAACCCATAAATCACTTTTCCGGTCGCGTCCTTGTAACTGTCGGTGAAACTTAGCACAAAACAAGATAACCCGCAAAGCGCCAGGAGCACGGCGGTCATGATCCGCGTGGCGTCGTCGCAGACGCCGTGGTTGGATAGAATCGGAGTCAAGAGCTGGAAAGTTAGGACGGTTCCGGTCGGAAGACGGCTGGCTAAGTAGGCTGTGCCTTTGAATGTTGAGCTTATAGCTTTCCTTATAGCTGAATTTTGATCATCATCGGAGGAGGAATTGGTTGGTGTCTTTGGTGTCAAAAGAGGTGTCTTTTGATCATTTTGGCTTGGGGCAGCAGCTGGAGTTTCAACTTTGATATCCATTTATTGTTTTGGGGGGGAAATTGGCTATCAAATTTTGAGTGATTTGGTGTTGTGATTCGTTAATGGTGTGGAGAGTGAAATATTTGATGATGAATTTATAGAGATGATGAGATTGTTTTGCAATTGGAAAAATCAAAGGAAGAGTTTCAATTAATACTTTTTAAAGATTAGCAGCCATCACTGATCATATACCACTTGGGAATAAAACGTGTATCAAGCTACGACTTTGACAGCCAACTTTTGAGTTGTTAATATTTATAGAGACCGAAGACCGAATTAGTTAGCAAGTGTTTAGGCAATTAATTATGCATGGTTGGTTCGTATAAGCAGGCATATTCCCTGGTTAAACAAATGCATGGTTGAATTAAAAATTAAGCAGCCACGACGATTGATTATGACTTTGAGGAATGACTTTTACTCCATGAAGATGATGATTGTTTGTGATAGAAGGGATCATCTTGGCAAAAACCATATAGTAATTCATGTCACAAAAATGGTTTAAAAGTCTTTAATCATTTAGGAGTTATTACTTGTTCTTACCTTTGATCACGTACCCTGTATTTTCTTAGATTTTCCACTAAAAAATGATTATGAGTAGTTATAATAACAGAAGGCAAAATCTTAAAATTATAATGTGAGGAAAAAATATGAGTAATGATACTTACAAAGGAAAGATTGTAAAAAAATAAAATAAAATTATAATACGAGAAAAATCGAACTTTTTTTCCGTTCGAAAATATTTTCGAAACAATAATTTTAAATCAGAGAGATTTATGCTTTATCCATGAGCTTGTTAATTGGTTTATGAGATTTCTAGTACCAAATCCCTCCTCGGAATTAATGAGGTTCCAAGTCCTTGGAACGTAGTAGTATAATATTAGCAATTAGGCACACAACTTGACAATTTGGTCATGTGATCCCTTCTATTACAGCTGACTTCTTTGATGTAATCCCTTCCATATAGACAAAACATACCTACGTTCCATAATTTGAAAGACAACTGCATCAATCAATGCGTTGTATTTGACAATTCAATAGTGTTTGACTGTTTCCCAGTGCTTTAACTGTAATTTATTTTGGAGATACGATCATCAGTCTTTTAGGTCGTTACTTCCACGTCCTTAATTTCACGGTCGTCATGATTAACGTTTCCTCCTGTACTTTGAAGCTACGGTCCAGAATGGAAGGCGACCTCTTTGTGTACCAATGTGTGAAGGCATTTCTGAACTCAGATCAACATCTTGACCAGTATGGATTTAATTCAAAGATCGACATGAGTTCCACCCTATGTTTTCAAAACCGGACCGGAAAGAAAAGTGGACCGGAAAGTAAACCGACAACTTAAGTGGTTTATTAATTTACCGGTTCAATCGATTTATTTTCAAAATTCCAGTTTAATCGGTACCGGTTCTCAGTCAAACCGAAGTTTTGTCCGAGTTTGACCGGTTTTAAACTCTACCAGTTAGTAATTAAAACCGGACTGAAAAGGCTTTCAATTCTCAGTCGAACTGGTTCGACCGTCTAGTCCGGTCCGGTTTTCAAAACACAGGTTCCAACTTCAACTGTCTCGCTTAGTGTATATTATGAATTGTATTCCACGAGGAAAAATTAATCTATATGTGTAAGAGGTAATATGCCTTCTTCATTCCATATCAAGCCGAATAATTAATAGTAATTACTTATGTGAACAATGTCACAAAAAATTACCACATTAGTAAGTATAGTAACTTTCTTTGCAAAGCTGATTTGGGTACAGTTACAAGAGTGAAGAAGGTTCTAGATGAGTTTACAGCTACTTCAGGGCTGAAAACAAACTTGCAGAAATCTCAGGTGTTCTGTGGGGTGGGGGGACAAATAGAGGTCAAAGAGGAGATTCATCGCATCACAGGATTCAGTCAAGGAGGACTCCCTATGAGGTACTTGGGAGTGCCGATTTCGCCAACTAAATGGACGATATTGGACTGCCAGGTACTAGTAGAGAAGGTCACTTCAAGAATCAAGTGCTGAGCAACACGACATCTGTCTTATGCTGGACGTGTAGTACTGGTAAACTCTGTTTTGCTGACTTTGCATTCATATTGGGCATCTCTTTTTTTGCTCCCTAGGAGTATTATAATGGCAATTGTAAGAGAAAGTAGAGAGTATCTATGGAGGAAGAAAGAAGCTGGCAGTGCGTATGCTCTGGTGGCCTGGGAAAATCTTTGCAGGCCTAAGAAGATGGGTGGTCTGAACCTAAAAGAGGCTATCTATTGGAATAAGACAGCTCTTAATAAGGAAGTCTGGGTATTAGCCGGAAAAAAGGACAACCTCTGGGTTAAATGGTGCCATGAGTATTATCTCAAAGGGCAGCCATTCTGGGAATACCAGCCATCTCAGAGTGACTCTTGGGCTTGGAGGAAATAAATGAAGATCAAGGATATGCTTAAAGCTGGAATCCAGGATGGCAAGTGGATAGCAAACCAGCAAGGAGTGTATTCTACCAGTTCTGGTTATACTTAGGCTCAGAGGAGGACAGAAATTTCCAGCAGAAGTAGTATGGAGCAAGTATACAATCCCTAAGCATAGTTTTATATTCTGGTTGGTAACGAAAGGCAGATTGTTGACTGTCGATAGAATTTTGAAATTGAACTTTATTGTGCCGAATGTGGATACAGAGAAATATAAAGTGAGTCTGTAACACTTGAAATGTAGCAGAATGGCAGCAGTGATATAGTAGAAAGGATTAAACAGTCAGGGTAATAGTCAGGGTATAGTAGCAGATTTGGATACAGAGAAATGCAGCTTTTCATGAGTCTGTAATAGTCAGGGTAGATGATGTAGTAGAAAGGATTAAACAGGACGTTAAATATAAAGTGAGTATAAGCTGTAAAAAGTATAGTCTCTCTGAAAAGTCTGTCTTGTAGAAATTAGGGAGTAGTATAAAAACTTGAAAGGAGTTCATGTAATAGAAAAATTCAGGTTGTAAATCGAGTTCACAGCTGTGACAAGTTAATATACCATTCACCAAAAAAAAAAAAAAAACCCTTTCTTGTAAGATATACACGTACTGGGGAAAGAAATAAACATTGCAGCTAAATTCAGTGTAAGTTAATACTGAATAACAAAGGTTGAGGCTATCAGACGATGGGAATTCTTCAAGAAATGCTCCTGTTTGTGGATTTTAAATCAAGGAAAGCATCACACAAGAAAATAAAGGAACAAAGAAATCATCGAAAAACACAAATGAATCCCTCACTGGCAAATAATCACTGTACAAGGCGAACCAGAAAGACATCCAAACCCTCAAATGCCAAGTGTAATTGCCCTTCATTGACAATTTTAGATGAAAATGAAAACATTGGACAAGAGATTCTTAACTTTTGCACAGGTTAGGTGCTGACACATACCGATTCTTAAGCTCCTTTTCTTTTTCGCCCAAAGACTCAGAATTTACCAAGTCTCTCTGTGTTAATCATGGAAGCTACCCAAGAAACAATAAGGTTAAAATAAACTGGCATCTGAGGGTACCTTCTGGATTTCTAAGATTTCCAACTCGAAGTTTTTCTTTGGGTTTTCTCATTCAAAGCCCCATTTTGCTGAATATACCTTCTTTTTCTGAGGTAAAGCCAACCCAAGCTCTTTACATTGCTCTTCATCTGGTTGTTCATTTAGAAATCCGGTTCCAACAAAGTGCATCAATGCAGATGCATCCTCTAATTTCTTCCCCAAATTGAAAGATGGGGTGGACAAGTATAGCTTTGAGGGTGTCTTTTTTAGTTTCTTCGCTGGCAAAACATCAAGTTGTGCAGCTTCAAGAAAACGTTCTGTTGCCGCTTCCCAAGAAAGCTCGTGCATTTGATCATCTGTTAAAGGTAAAGGTTCATCTTTCAAAGCCTTGTTTGTAGCTTCTACAAATCCATTAGCATCGTTATATGTTCTGCAGTTAGGGAACTGCTTGAAGAATTCATTTGACGGATGGTTGGCGCAGACAACTATTTTGCCCATTGCTAATGCTTCAGCAGTGGTTGTGCATACCACATCTGTTGTACTTGGATTCAGAAACACCTTGTAGCTGCAATTAGAAGAATATATCAATTTACAGATAATTTGACTTTCTCATCCAGAACATCAAACACTCATCTTCTCACATGGAAACATACACACACAAGGAGGTTGCTTACCAGAGTAGTCTATCAGCAAGATGGTATGTAATTAAGAAAATAAGAAATTAAAAGTACAGTAGTTTAAGGCTTACTCATGGAACAAAGGATCAGCATGATCACGACCAGGATTAACCCTAACTTCTAAGTCTAGTTTCTTTGCAGCTTGCTGAACTTCAGCTGAATCCTCCCCATTACCATACAAGTCAACCTCAAGACCAGCCAGCTCCTTTTGATGTTCACGTAGAAGTTTCAGAAGCTCCTTGTAGCCTTTACTCCACACCATCTTCCCAATATAGTAGGCACCTTTGCTGAAAGCCTGTTCTCCATTTTCCCATTGCTCTTTCTTTTTCATGCCAATTTGAAGGAACTTGGGATTAACTCCATGGACATTACAGATGATAGATCTAGGTAAATCCTGGGTTGCAGCGGATAATCTGATAACCTGTATTATGACATGAATAAAGGAGTTGATCAGAATTTACGAGTTTTCATGATAATAACAAATATTGATGTTCTACATACGGATTCTTCTGCAATTCCATTTTTCCCCTCAATATCATGCTTACAAGAGTTTCCGATTTTTTTAGAGTACTCCCGTATCAAAACATAAAGAAAAAGAAAGTTGAAGAACACAAAAGCATTATTGCTGACTTCAGGCAAGTTTCAATACATCTCAGATACATGTTTGACAAATTTCCCCACCATAACATTGGACCATTAGGCCGTAAGTTTAAACTTCTCCAAGAATATTTAAGAACACCGAACATATAATAAGAAATGAGATCCCAGAACTAGCTGGAGACACTATTTTAAGCTCTTTTCTTAGCCTTTTATTTGGGGTGGAAGGGTTTGAGGCATAAAACACAGGATTTGAACTAATGAATAATAAACTACATCGTTCACCCAAAAAAAAAAAAAAAAACTACATCTTTTTTTTTTCTTTTAAAAAATTCACCCCAGTGGACCCCACTTAAATGTGGGTAAACCACCCCCGGTACAACCCCTGGTGGGAATCGTACCCTGGTAACCTAACCACTAGGCTGTCATTCAATTCCCACTACACTGTGATATACTGAAAAATGTGGAACAATGAGATTATCCTAACAAATGACTCAATTACATACAAAGAATTTTTGACAACACCCCAAGAGGAAACTCGAAATATATTGATAAGCTTCAGTGTTATCAGTTTTAAGAATGGAATTTCACGTAGTCCGAAACAATACAAACAATCAAGAAACTTATGGTATTCAAAGGCAACAAAAGCAACATTTGTTATGGCTTCAACAGCATTCATGATACAACATCCAACAAGATCAATCCTTCCAGAGTCAGCAACTTTTAAGGACTATAATTGAACCATGTATGGAAACTGATTGCCTCATTGATTCAGCAGTACTTTTCGTTCCTTCTGTTATAATCTTTTCAGTTAGGAGAAACAGTTTAACTATTAAATTCACTCTAAAAGGAACCAACATCAAACAAGTCAACGCATGTGTGATGCATATTCGGCTACTACTTAGCAAAACTTTAGCAGACAATTACACAACAAAATCTAATAAAATTCATAATACACAGATAAAAGGGTAGCAACAGTCTATTTCTAAATCAGAAGCAGAATTTTCAGAAAAAAACAAATGACAAGAAGTAAACTTCTTACCCTGTGACAGTAGATGCCGACTACCCAGTTATTTATCTGTTTGACAAGAAATGCTTGCAATGAGTTCTTTTCTCTCTTAACATACTCCAGATAATTGGTGTGAACAACTCCAATAACTAAACGGAATTTCTTTTTCCACCTCTTTCCATGATGATACCATGTAAGATGCTCAGGTTCCTCAAGAACTGCAATATCTGCCTGCTCATCTGGGATCACCTCTGTTATGTCCCCTAGAGCAAGAATGCTCCTCTTCTCGATTGAGAACTGAAAAACAGGTACAGTTCATTAATAACTGATGCTCCTCTGATCAAAATAACCACTAAAAAACTCTGACTTGCACTAAATCTTAAGAAGAAAAGGAAAAAAGAAATCAAGCTTCCATAAGATAGCTCTCATGTTTGAATATAATACATCCCCAAGGTACGATGAAATTTTGTTCAAGTAGATGCTACTCCAAATAGACTAAAATGTAGCATCACAAGAAACCTTATATATCTTTATCGAATATATCTGAAGGAAATTGCAAGCAAATAAGCTTATTACTGTAATTAACTACAAATGCCTAAAAAACAATGCATCATCATCAAATAAAGATAATTAGGGGGAAAAAAGTAGGAAATAATATTACATAAACTCAAGCGCAGACACAACCATTTCATCCAAATAAATTATCGCATATTTGCAAAGGTGCTCTTGAAGTGTATATGAAATAAAGTACATAGTTGAGATATTGTGGCTTCACTACCTTGCCTGGATAGAAACATATTCTAAAATTTGATGTGAACCCAATCCGATCTTCAAGCCACTGGCGAATATACTTCTCTTGTTCAGCTGGTGAATGGTATGTGATTTTGTCAGGATACACATGCTCTTGATCTTTTAAAGTTAACCAAGGAACCACCAAAGTAACCTTTCTGTCCTCATCTTTCGCAAGATAGGCAGCACGAAATAGAGGGTTGACTGAAGTTCCAGTCAGCCAAGGAAGACTTGCAGTAGTAAATATTGCAATATGCTGCTGCTTCGCCATTCTCTCATTAGATTGAAATGGCAGAACCAATTCAAGTAATATGCACTAAGAATCGCGTGATCAGAGTACTTCAGAGTACTAAACTGCACAGCAAATTACCAGCAACATATCAATTACCACAATCCATGTATAGGAGATACAAGGAATCTTTTCAGCCATGAAAATTTTAAAGCAATTCTTACAGCAAAAGGTTTAACAATAGCACTACAACCCAACACAAAGGCTAAAACTACATTAAGAGTAGAACTAGTTATAGGTCCATATTCTGTCAAACTATATCCAATTCCACCTTGATCAAACAAGAACTTATAAAGTAAGCTAAAAACTCAAGCTACATCAAACTATTATCTAGCTCTTTTGGACAATACAATCCCAACAGAAGATCCTGAATATTAACCCCCTATACCAAAAGAAAACCCATCTTCTTACCCAACCAAAGAACTACAGGAAATGCGAATATCTGAAGCAAAATAACTCATCAACTGGCAACCGGACATGAGAATCTAGAATTCAATTACAATCCCATGTTTTATAATTGATTGGAAAAAAACCCCCAAAAAGATGTAATCTTTATATATTGCGCAGACATACAAGTAAACTGCATGACATAAAAAGTAGGGAAAAGAATTGAGTATACATTGCTGGAGGAGATTACCCACCTAAATGTCTTCTTCCCCTGAGCAAGCAAACAAAAGGGTTGACGAATTCACAAGTTATGGGGGCTTGTTCAAGGAGAAAGAAAAAGGAAATTAAAACAAATAATAATAATAACAAACAGAGAGATTGGGAAAATCAAAACAGAGATTGGTTACAACAAAAAGATCAAAAAAAGTGGAGGAGGAGAAATTGGGTTGTGTTTAAGAGCTAGAATGAGCTGTGAATGAAAGGGAAGATTCGAAGCATCAATGGGGGAATTCAGAGTATTTCTGTTTGAACGAACTAATTAATATATTCTATATTACGTATATTGCTGATTATGTATGCATAAATCATAATCATCATAATAATATTAAAACAATTGTACGAGAATTGTATACGGTAGTTGAATCCTTTTGAAGAAAAGCAGTCACGCGCGTAGAGCGTGGCAATGAGAGAGTGGAGAACTGGAGATCATTCAACAACTTTTAAATCCTTCCCCCCCTGAATTTCGACTATTTCCACTTTTTCCCTTGCAGGTTCAGTTCCTTTTTAAATTTCTCCCATCTAAACTTCTTCCCACTCTGATTTTTGTGCATAAATCCTTTAACATTTTTTAAAGAATAATTTCCCCTTTTCTGGTAAAATATTTAAATTTTCTGTCTCTTGTTTCGTGAATGAAACTCCTCATACGAGCAAGTTCACTTGTTTTACATTTTTTACTGTAATTGTGGGTTCTTCCTCTCCATAGTTAAACATTATCTCACTTTTTTTATTTAACTTTTTAATACAATGGTCTTACCACTACTCTCAAATTTTTTATTTATATATACATCACATGCTTGCTTGTACGTGGCCTACCATGTTTAGACAAAGGCTAGCAAAAGTAATATAAGTACTGATCTCACCTGTAATCACAAATTAACTCTATGTAATGGGTGAGAGTTGATTTTGGGGGTAAGTAGCACATATTTTAGTGGCACTTACCATCAATAGAGTTGCTCTAAGAGCAACCTCAATGCATTCAGGTAAATTATGGTCTCGATATGTCCACTTAAGCTTTACTTGACACAGGGAAATAACATGGTACTTTTTCGCAATGACAGTCAATACAAATGGAAATTAAACATTAAGGACAACACTGACCCGCGTTGCAGAGGCTTTGGGAGTAAAACGTACCAGGACTCCATTTCTTTACTCCATTTTCAGACTTTCTAAGAATAACAAAAGAGACTACTTGTGCATTATTTTATACTATATGCAGTAATAAAATTAGGTAGTAAGTGGCCCGCGTTCCAAGGGGCAATTATTGTCCACTGCAAATGCTCTAAGTTATTGTACATGCTATTCAGTTGTTAATCCTGAATTGAGTGAATTTCTTTTTCTGTTTTAAAATGGTAGAAGAGTAAACATATCTCAAAACAAAATGAAAAAATGAAAAAATTATTCACTAGATACTCATTGCTAAAAGTTATCAATATGATTACTTAGACATTTCAATACTTTGCAATATTAATAAGTTGAATAAAATTTATGGGAAATAGTTAAATTGTTTATTATTATTACTATAATATTAATAGTATTTGAAGATAATTTTATATTGAGATAAGTAAGTCTCTTACAAACAATTGCCATATAAAATGAGATGGAGCGTAAAAACCTAAAAAAAAAAAAAAAGAATAAAATATTTAAGACAGTGGAGGTTTAAAGATGGTTTAGTAAAATGTGGACATTAAGGTGAGAAGCAATTATTGAGAAGGAAAAAAAAATATAAGTTTACCTTGGAGCTGCAATTTTAGAGGATGTGTTAGAAAATTTGGAGTTTTATTTTACATAAATATTTCGAATGGATAGTTTTGGAATTCCAGTGTATATGAGGGAGACATTTTGCAATATACTAGTACTACAATTTTCTTCTTCCGGAAGACTGGACAAGAATAAAGGCAAAAGCCGCAAAGGCAAACCAACATTGGCCCCAAAATTGAATTGGCTGACTTGGCTACTATAGAATGGGAGCTCCACCTGCCAAACGGGAGGGTAGTTTTACACGCAGACCTGTCATTGGTTTTCTGAGAAATTGAGGATATAATTAGTGGTCCATAAACAGAGTTATGGTTACCGTCGCTTGGGCAAACATGAGACAGTAGTATTTAATGAAAGAAAACAGCAATTGTAGCTGCTGGACTTTTTGTTACGTTTTCAACAAAAAACAGAGAAAAAGGAAAACATGGAGTTGAAGTTAGAGTTCGGACACCACCAAGCTAAGGAATCCCACCTCGTTCTATACGTTATTCCATCTAGTTTGATGGAGTTGGTTGATGTTGGAAAGTGGAAATGGCACCAAATGCACAATGATTGAAGTATTAATCTTACCTTCTCGAGATTTAAAATTCAATTAAAATTAACTGGGTTGTTTTGTATTAGACCAAGACGACTAACCTATGTGATTCATATATTAGTTCATCTTATTGTCTCTCTCTCTTTTTTTTTTTTTTAATAAAACATCTATGAAATTGGAGATGGGAATATGGGAATGTAGATCAAGTAACAAGGCTTAATTAATTGCTGCAAAACGCTTAAGAATTCCTCTCATGATAAAAATAAAACAAGAAAAATGAGATATAAGTATAGGTATGTTATTATAAACAAATGGTGTCCTTATTGGTTACCTTTTGTAATTGATTTATCCCGCCATCCAAATAACAGGGTTGAAATTTTGAAGGGAAGTTTGGCCAGAATCTAGGCAGTTAGTCATTAGTTGAGGCCGCGACTTTGGATACCCGTAATAGTAAAATAAATAGAAGAAATGCTTCTCATTCTTTTTCTTTCTTTATTTTTTTTGGGGTAAAATTACCATTTTTTTTGGTTCACTTAATACTCCCAAAACACCAAAACTCGAGTCACCAAAAAAAATTTAAAAAAAAATTCAATCCCCTTTGAAATTCTATTTTTTTTTTACCTTCCTTACAACCCTTGGTGGGAATCGAACCATAATATATTACCAGTAAGTACAACAATCTAATTACTAGGCTGTCATTCAAGTACCCTTTAAAATTCTATTTTAATTACTTCAGATATATTTCAACCGTTTGACAAAGACTCGAGAGATGACCAAACTTAGTAGATCTCTTGTGGTTTTAGTTTGAATCACTAACCATATTTTTGCGTGGCCAAGCATACTGATCCTTACATTATTATCGTTGTATTTGCTCATTCCTAAATTGTCAACTTTATATTTTGAACTAAAGTAAGTTTAAAATGGTCATTACAATAATTAGGGAGACAGGCTACATCAAAACAGTCCTACCATTTTACACACTGTAATTAATCTTCTAAGGACCAGAAGCCCACAAACGAAAACAAACTTTTTCTCAGGAAACTTCCCAATTATCAGCGCAAATTTCTTCGTTTGGCCCATCTGATGAGCCCATCATATCTCCCATACCTTCTTCACCCAAATCAGAATCCAGACAAATCGGGTTAAGAAATGAACCATAATACAGCAAAACGGGTCCTTTCCTTTCTTTCTCTCCCGCATTAAATTCCAGGGTCTTCAAGCAACACACAGAAAAGCAGAAAGAACAGCAACAAAGGAAACAGAAACACTGCTCTGCTCACTCCTTGCTTACCAATTTCCCTAATCTCCCTCAATTTTTCGCATAGAAGAGGAAGGTGTTCAAAATTTTCCAGGTGAAAATTTGGAAAGTTTGTTTCTTTACTATTCGTACGGCCACGCATTTCTTATAATGGAAAGGAATTTTTTATATATTGTTTACATTCCATGCTCCGATTAATTCCCATGAGCAGACTGAAAATAGGTTGTGGGCTAACAACTGGTTTTTACATTTTTTCGCCACTAATTTATATGCTTGATTGTTTTGGTACTCTGTTCTTGTATGTTTTTCTAGAAGAAGCTGTAGTTTTGAACGGGCAGTTTGGTTTATTAACTAAAATTAGTATTCATCCTAACTTCTTTTTTTTTTTTCAGGTATATTTTTAACTTGAAATGCTTATGGGTAACTCAGGAGGGTTGCCAACATGGGGTTCATCAAAGGAGCTGCTGCTTGCTGACCCGGTATCCGAATTGGATGGGGATGAAGGAGGAAGTGGTGAACCAGAAAAAATGAGGCAGATATTGTACGTAGCATCATTTGAAGAACTTGGGACAAAGATTGTTAAGTATGACACAGTTATCTGGTTATGGATATCTTCGCTGCTGATTTTAGCTTGGGGTGTCGGTGTGCTAATGTTGTTATACTGGCCCTTCAGAAGATATGTGCTTAGGAAAGAGATTGCATCTCGCAAACTCTATGTTACTACCGATGAGATAATTTATAAGGTAGTAGCTGAATTTGGTGTTTGGTTGTTTTTTTTTTTTTTTCTTTGATTTATTGTTGTTTTGATTTTGCCTTTGCATCTTTGATAATGAGTTCTGGTAATTGCAAAGGTATCAAGACCTTCGTATATCCCTTTTTGGGGAGAGACAAAGATTGAAAAGCGTGTTCCTTTGCAATTGGTGATTGATATTATCCTTGAACAAGGTATCCCTTGTGCATTTTGAAGGGTTTCTTCAGCTGTTTTCCCCTTTGGAATGCCTTTTGTTCTCATACAGTTTGAGATATATCATTTTCCTTTTCCTTTGCACAATATGTCCAAATTTGAGCATCATGACTGCTCTTTAGATTGAGAGATCATACATGAGACTATGTAGTAAAATTGTTGGTTGTTGGTACTTGTTCTCGTCTTCGGTTGAGTAAGTTATAGGTAGAGTGAACTGCGAACTACCATTATTAAAAAATTTGTGTTGGAATCGGAAAATATGATATGAAAGGGTGATCTGACCGTACAGATGGCTGTTTTGGTCTTGTCCTCTTTTTAGATATAGCCATTGAAGATGATGTTGTAATTAACAGCTCACAAGTTACAAGAAAATGTTTTCCTTCGGATGTTGGAAAGTTGGAACAGTTGATTGTGAATGGCGAATGAAAGAATTGAAAGATTATCAAGTTTGCTTGACAATACAAAGAGGAATAAATTTGCTACAAGTTTGAGTTATTATAGCCCTATGTATGATTAGTTGTTGTTGTGATTAATGCAATTGGGTTTGAGGATCTTTTTCTTCCTGGTTAGAAAGTTTTCCCTTAAGTCTCCTGATGGTTAATGTACACTCGTCGTTGCGGTTTTGCAGGTTGCTTACAGTCAATGTTTGGGATCCATACCCTTAGAGTGGAAAGTATAGCACATGGAAAAGCTGCGCCAGTTGATGAACTACAGTTGCATGGTGTTTATAATCCCGGACGCTTAACAAAGGTAAATGATTGTTCTATGCCTCTACAAATTTGTATTAAATGGTGAAAGGGAGGGGAAGACGATTCATATGAAACCGTAAATAGTTTGAACTTTGGAACTTCATGCAGGTTATAGTAACGCAAGCTTCAAAAATTATACAAGAAGTTGGCAGAAATTGGAAAGCTAATAAGCGCAATGTTGAAGGTGAAGTCATTTTGCCAACAGAATCTTTGATTGAGGACACTACTGGGCTGAGATCACCTTCTAGAAGTTCGAGGGTAAGTAACCATATCCGATTTTTGTTGGAGGGTATAATGTTGTGATATCTTTTTGAACAGTAATTCACGACGAAACACAGAACAAATGTGTTTATACTTTATGATGCTTGCAAGCACCAAAGTTGCTTGGTAAGCTTGAGGCGTTTGTCCACCGAGAATCTAGACATTGATATTTATGTATGAGTGTACGAGGCAAGTTTGATTAGGTGGATTTCCCTCAAGTGCTGTTGTAAACTGAAATTGAATGAATAATTTCTGTTGCCATCTTCCTTTTTCACTTTTTGTTTGTCCACGTTAACATGCATTCCCCCTCTCCCATTATATTCAAGGTTTACTCAAAATTAGAGAATTCAGAGAAATGTCTTTGCGTTCCTCTTTATTGTGATGATTGAGGGTTCCATTTCAAGCCAATCCTTATACAGTACAAGTTATCTTGCAGGGAATCAGTTCACCACACCATAGTATAATGGAACACAGAGGCGTAGCTCAAGATTTGGTTCTCAATAAGCTTGAAGAAGTAAACAAATCCGTTAAGGTGAGCACTCTCTTGTTTCAGTGGTTGACTGGCTGTCATGTACTGTTACATTTTCCCAACTGCCATATCCTTTGTACCTGGTTATTTTAAGTTATTTTATGTCAAAATGTTGAATGTAGCTATTGTTACTGCCTTATTTCAATGAAACAGAACATTGAGATGCTGATAGAGAAATCTCAAGCCTCATCACCACCAATAAGCGGCCATTGATGGAAAGGGGTGATCATCAGAAGTAGAAGCTAGTTTGAATTTGATGGCGGCCACTCATCCAAAAGGGTCATTAGAAAAACGAATGAGACACCACTAAGTCGTTAAAAACATCAAGTTTTGAACTGTTTTGAGGTGGGATAATTTTGTGTACATTTCCAAGCTTTGAAGCTTCCACGGGCAATACTCAACAGAAGGCCAGATTGTTAAATTTGTACCTTATGATAAAAATGTAGTCTTTGTGTTTTCTTTTCATTTTCTGAATCTGGCAAAAAATAAACTTAGATCAACTCCAACCAGTACTGTAAAAGGCACTTTTGCTCTATTTTACAGTACCGGCGGCCTCCCATGCATACTGCAAATCCAGTTTAGGGGGCTGCTACGCTGAATCTAGCGTAACTGGAAAGGGCACTCGATCAGTGTTCTTGCAGGCCCTACATACTTTTCATTCCTTTTCCCCTTTTTAAATTGGCTGTCCAGCTTTTGTTTTCCTTTTTTCCTTTAAATTTTTGTCCTTTTTTATTTTATTTAGTCTATATTTGGACTTGAAAACACATATTAATGTTAAAATTCCACAATTTAGTCATTGCTCATATTAATATATTTGGTGTTTTTAGGAGCATTTCTTTTTAATTTAATCAGTATTTTATACTGTGGATCATATGTTGTTTTTTTTTTACTATTACTATACATATAATTTTTAAAGAATTGTAGTATACACAAATTTTGAAAGTATGTTTATATTTCTTTGTAATCAATATTTTGTTTGCCTTTAATATTTTAATTACTAATAAAAATTTGGAACTGTTTACATGTGTTATTTGATACATTTAAGTTATATAAAATTACTGCAATGAAATCGATATTTTTTTTTAGAAAAGAAATATTTATTATACATAACTCAAAATATACATGATTTATACACTTCTATCACTGCTTAATATATATGGTTTGGAAATGCATAGAGTAAAGTAATAATTTCAATAAAATAATAAAATGTAAAGAAGAATTATAAAAGAATAATAAAATAATAAAATGTAGAGTTGCTGGATTGGAGGAAATAAATAACTGTAGATACTGTAATTTAGGGTATACTATACTATAAATTAGAGTATTGAGTTGGAGATGACCTTATAACTGAATTCAGACCTGGCACAAAGAGATCAGAGGTTGGTAATGGATATCGGTCACGGTTAAATCTGAAACACGGACCAAAAAGTTCCTCATCATATCCCCTCTGTCTCTATGATTAAAGCTGGAATGTTAAACTCCAAGAGGGGGACACTTTGAAAATCAACCAAAAACTCTTTAAAAAAAAGGAAGAAAAAAATCAGAAGGACGAAGATATCAGAGTCATCATCAGTGACTTAAATACAAAAAGTAATCACTTGGGTTAATCATTTTGTTGCAGTTATTTCTTCATCACATGATGAAGCTTCGTCCTCAACAAACCCATTACAAACTAAAAGGAAAAAAAAAAAAAATTGGCTGGGGGGAAAAACCACATTCGGAAAAATTTTGAAGGAAGAAGAATTAGTTGGAAAATCCAACACCAGGAAAATGATTGCAAGAAAAAGAATCGTCGATATAAGACTGTAAACACAGAAAAAATAGAAAGGAATTAGCAGAGAAGAGGTGCGGCCTTCGGCTTGAACAATGCCCATGGAATCAATTTGTGAGAAAGGAAGAAGTCTGCTTTTATAAGCTGAAGGCTGGAGCCCTAAGCAACAAATGGGCTTAACAAGGGCCTTACGAAGGAATTCATTTATAAGTTTTGGCCCAGAATTAGGTGCTGCTTTTTAAAAAGTTGTAGTACAAAACTGTTTCCAGATTGAATAGACCATCAACAAGTTAACTAAAGTGGTTTTGGTGGAGTGGAAGGGACTCCTCTACCCTTAATCATAGGTCGGGGGTTCGAATCTCGCCATGGATATAGAGCAACTTTAAATACTTTGACCAACTGTTCCACCCATTAAGATGCCTACAATTCAACTTATACACCATGTATACACCCTGTAACAAGAATTAGAGAGAAATATGAGCTTCCACAACAGCAAGAAAGTTTTAGAAGTGGGACGAATTGGATACTTGGGCTGACATCTATTACAAGGCTTTGCAGAAGAAATTCAAGGAAAATGCAATCTTGCCTTGGTATTTTTACTCATCAATGCAACTCCTCAGGCTTTTTTTTTTTTTTTTTTTTTCCAGGTTGATATGAAAACTGGTGATGGATTTGATTCTATTTCGGAAAAGTTAGACATCCAACTTTTGCTTTCCATTTATGATTGAATTCTCCACCACCGAGATGGTAAATTTTGACGGCAACAAAGATGCATATAGATAAACTTTTTTCGTACGGCAAATGGCGATCACTTGAATCAACTGAAGATGTTTTTTTTCTAAGGAATGAGTACATGTCTTTTCTCATCTACCATATGCTTTGAGATTTCAATGATAGGTATGCAGAGGGAAAATGCTGTAGTTTTACTGATATTGTCCCTCTAAATACATTTAATTTACAATTACACTATCAACACACGCTTTTCACAGTTAACTAGAATTCAATGTAATACTTCCTCCGTCTCATAATTATTCTCCTGTTTGTTAAAAAAATTTTATCCTAAAATTATTGTCCGATTTGACTTTTTATTTGTGGAGTTACACATATACTCTTTAGTCCCAAAAGGAAAAATACTAACTGAAACTTCTTCCTCCATGACTTATGCAAACGGTAGAAACGAAAAGTTAACCATAGTAGCAAATACAAGCTCTTCTCCGGTGGCTCCAGGCGGCGGTGGAGGTGAGGTGACCTGCCGGTTGTCGGAAAAAAACCTGGAGAAGAAATTCCGAAAAAAACGAAGTCGAAATCGCAGTCGATGGATTCAAACAGTGAAATAGAATAAATCATCTGGATTGAGGAGCATTAGATTGAAACTCAGATTAACAACTTTCTCCAAATTCGAATCAATTCATCCGAGAATTTAGTTCAATTGGCATAAGCGGTGGCTCATAGTTAAAGAACTCCGATCTAATCGATCTAAAAATTTTCTGTTTGTCTTCATAGATATCAAATTGAAACGTAGAGCAGAAACTTATCCAAATTTGAAGTTCATCTAAATTGATTTGATCATGGCTTGGTTCCTGACTAAAGAAAAGGTGAAAGAATTTTTATTCTTGTGCTCTGAAATCGATTTTGGATCTAGGAGTCAAAGTGAAAAAGAAGTGAAGAGTTCTTCCCCAAAATCTTTCGCTGGTTAACCACTTATGTATTTAGGGGTATCTTTGGAAGTTTGTGACAAAATTTGGTTAAGTTTAACTGAAAATAAAATCTTATATCTTAACAAAATTGGACAATAGTTTTGGGACGGATAGAGTACATATTTATTTCTTGAATCAAATAATATGCTTTTGGCAATAGGGGCAAACACTTGGAAGGTTTTGCAAAAAGAATCGAGAAACATGCCATTTTGCCCTTTGCATTATTCACTCATCACAAACTATGTTGTTCTAAGCCATCTCGAGCTATTCCTTTTTATGTTGACCTAACAACCAGTAGTGACCGTTTTAAAAAAAAATCAACCTGTAGTGTGGGTTTGATTTTATCTCGAAAAGGCCGACTTAAGAGCATGTATAGTAATTGTGTAATTGGAATGTAGTATCAGAAAAAATAAAAAAATAAAAAGTTGTTGAGGTGCAGAAAATTGGCCCACTTAACCTACTAATTTTGAATATCCAGTACAAGAATTTATAGAGTAAAAAGAGTGAGGATGGTTTGTGTTTTTTTTTGACACATAATTACAAGCATCTAGTATATTACATATGTGGGTGAGGTCTATAGAAAAGGGGATAGTACTACTAAGGGGGAGACTACATACGGGTGCAAGCTGCAAACCTGCACAACTCAACACTTGAAAGTGTTGTTAGTGGGAATTGAAGCCTGGTCTCCCAGGATTGATGTCAAAGCCCAAACCACTTAGGCTACTCTCTTGTTGGCTGGTTGGTTTGTGCTTATGTGGAGGGAGGAACCCAACTTTTCTACTTCCATCACTGAACATGCTCTTAGAACAAGTACAGTGGAATGGTTTAAAGAGTGGGGTTCCCCTTCAAGTCAGCACAAATAACCCTACCTTATTCACTCTTTATTTATTTTTTATTTTTTTAATCAAAAAATCAACTCCAATAGCCCCCACTTAAAAGTGGGTAAAACTCTCCCTTACAAATTCCTGGTGAGAATTGTTCCCTAGTTTATTACCAGTAAAGACAACACACTAACCACTAGACTGTCATTCAATTCCCACCTTATTCACTCTTCATCTTCTCCAGTGAATTTACTAAAAATAGTGAATAATTGTCCCCTGCGGCTCTCCCACACTTCAATATATATTCCAAAACTTTTGGTACATTATTTTATTTTCGTACTACATTTGGTTTCCTTGTCACATTTTATTTTCTTCCCCTAGCATTCGTAAAAGAAGAAAAATTAGAAAATATATAGATTAAATAAAAATATTTAATCCTTTCAAAAAATGTGCAGAAGATAAGCTGCAATAAATTTTTTAGAAACTAAAATTTCAAGGCAAAAGATAATCTGAAAAAAAAAATTGACACATAATTGTAAAGATAACGTTCAAAAAAACTTTAAGCCTATATCGAATTGGCCAGCAAAATTTTCTTCAAATTTATAAGGTTTTTTTTTGTATATAAAAATAAGGTACTGAAAAACATAAATGAGCGAATGCTAACTCAACTTTTTCAAAAGTTGTCACGTAAAGGCGTCTCCAACCGGCCCTCTATATAAAGAGGGGCCAATTGGAATGGTGGAGAGAGCTCTCCAAGGGCCTCTGTATTTTAAGGGTTCCGCTTTGCTATCTTTCTAATGTCTCCAGTTACACAAGCATAAAATAAATATTGATAAACTTTAAACACAATACATTCTACTCACTGAAAATTACTTGAACATAATACTAAAAATTAAATATTACAATAATAGAATACAAAATAAAAAGTACATAACGCAAAAATATGAGAAATACGGGTTCACAAGCACATAAACCAACACTACAACAATTAGGAAACAAACACTAAATAAGGTTGATGAAGGCACCCCGTATTATCTAACAATCATCATTATTATTACCATAATTATCACCCAAATTCTCTCCGCCATGCCCGATATTGTTAAGAAATCCAAATTGTCCCATGTTAGATGATGACGGTGCTTGAGATTGTTGTTGGGAAAAATTCCTTCTTTGTAAAATTTTCAGTTGTTTACTCTCCCAAAGCGCACGAAACACTGGATTAGGAATGGAATTCAAATAAGTCATTAAAACTAGATTCTACTCTTTCTCTTGTGCTAGTCCTAATGATTCTTTTTTAAGTTAAAGTTGAGCATTTTGAAGTTCATCCTGCTTTATTAGCAAATCAACATTAGCATTATTTTTTAGCAGTTAAATCAATCAATACCTTGTTTTTATATGGTCTTATGATTTTTTCTTCAATTTGGCTTTCTTCACCCCCATAGGCTGTTTAGAGGATGTTCCACCGGCACTACCACTACAGTCGCTTAGTGGAGGATTACAAGATGACATTCCAAGAGATTCCAGTGTTGGTTGTGCATA